AATATTCATACTGAACTGGTTAGAAACATAATGATTTTGGAGCATTATTCAAAACAAACTTTAACTATTAATATAACGTATGATTGAAAAAAAACGGTGTCACAGATGGGTGGGGAATCGATGATAATTTTAGCAAGTAGACGTCATCTACTAAAAATTGGCATAAAAATTGGAATAAGACTTAAAAATACCACTAATTATAGAAGATTAAAAATAGATAGAAAGTTTAAAGACACACAAATCTATTTACAAAAAAATATTTTTTTCGAATTAAACTACACCATTAAAAAATCCTTTTTACTCAATATAAGAATAAAATACAACTTTCTTAAGGCCAACTGGCAGTAAGCGTCATTAAAAAAAAATAAAGAAGAGTACGGGCCAAGTATGCCATCAAGATCTTGACCTCGCCAGTATCATCATCGATTGTCATTCTCCAGTCGTCTTTGACGCCGTTTTTTTTTCGATCGTATAGTATCATTATAAAGGGAATTTGATACAAATTACAAATATCTCATAAATTAATAGAAAGGATAAAAAATGAGCGAAATAAAACAAAATATTTTCATCAAAACAACTATATTTCTAAAGAAAAAATAAATAATTAAAATAAATACAACTATATACATTTTAAAGAAAAATCCCAACTAAGAATTTTAAGGCAGGGATAACTACTTAAAACTTATACAAACATCGAATTTTATCAGATAATAAATTTGTCGAAAACAAATTTTATCACGAGCAAAGTTTAAATTTTTAAAAATAAAATTAAGTGGTATATTTACTTAATTCTACGTGCTTAATAATAATTAAATATAGTAAACAAGATGAAGTATACCTGTTTTTAAAACAAAACAGCATTATTTAAGAAAGTATGAAGTAATTTTAATGTAAAATTAGTAACACGAGAAAAACCGTATAAAAATCAGAGCTTCACGCAAAAAAAATTGATTTGGTCACGTAAATTTCTTAAAATAATTTTAGGGTAACTTTATAAAATAGTGCACCACGCTATAATATAGCAAAGAAAAGGTGATAGCACACGTGATAGTAACAACTATTTTTTTTATTTAACGCTCGATTTATGTACTTTCTTTCGGAGGCAACAATGCCAAACGGTTTAATAGAAAGTTCCTAGCAGTACCCAAGACGCAAACTGGCTTATATATTCCAATCTCCACGATGTACCTATTCAATATTATTTATCATTGAATAATTACATTACAAAATAAATTCTTCCAAATAAATTAATCGATACTTATTTCGGTTAATGTAGAACTTAAAATTATACTTGATGCTTTTTAAACTTGACTATTTTTAAAAACCTCTATTTCAAAATGAAGTCATCTTGAAAGAATACAACCATTTTTAAGATAGTAAGGCAGTTGGATACAGACTATATAGAATAAAAGTTGTTGTTAAAATGAAAAGTAGATATATTTGTATAATATGTAATAATTATTATTAAAGTAATATGTATTATTTTTGTATTATTAGTTATATCCTTGAACATAAATTCGGGGGAAAATTTTAAAAGAAAGTAAAAAAATGACAAGTTAATCCAAAAACTTTTGGAAAATTAACAAAACTATGAATGTTTATGATAACTACAATACATTTTGTATTTAGAAATAACTTATTGCGGCTCTTCAAAAATAAAAAAAATCTTAAGGCCAGTTTCCACAGCCTATATTATATTCTCAGGTTAACACTGACAGATAAGTATAGATTTTTAGTGTTTTAGTGAAATAATGTAATTTGCCAGTAAAATTAGCAAAAATTAAAAATTAAAGAAACCTATGTTATTGGAAGAGAAAATTCCACGGTTTTATTTTATTATTATAACGTTTTAAACTGGCTGGTGGTATTCTTGAACTTGGGAGAAAGTCAAATCCGAGTGGCTTACGGCAAAATCTAGACCAACGGTAACGGAATCGTACCCGTAACGATTACCAATGAGCTAAAAGCAGTAGAAATTACTTAGTTTACTATAATACCGGGTGTTCCAGTACTCGGTATATGCAATATTATTGTCGTATACGTTTGATTCTTAAATTAAAAATATATAAAAAAGATACAGCATATTCAAAACGACGGCAGGATATACGTAAGAAATACTGCTTTTTTATCGAAATATACACTAGAGCAGTGTTTCTCAAACTTATATAAGGTTTGGGAAAAAATTATTTGTTAAAAAAAGTGCTCTATTTCAGCAATTTGCGAGATCGCGACATTTATGTAATTACAGTCACAGATAAAAGTAAAGGGTTTATAAGAAAACCCGATTTATGGTTGACTTCACGTAAAAAGCAACTCGATTCATCCCAGTATACAGGGTGTCATTGAAATGGTGTAAAAAAGGGGGTGATAGTACTCCTAAAAATAGTAAAAAAAGTTCCTATAAGTATAAGGCGGAAAATGCATATTAAGGGAGTTTGGTTTGGGGAGAAGAAGGGGTGAATTTAAAAAAAAAATCACTGAAAGGGTGAATTTAAAAAACGGTTGTTTTGAATTTGTAGGCTTAAAAAACGAGAAAAAATTTCGAAAAAATATACTCTGCCATAAATTTTTACCCTAAATCAAATGATGATACTGAAAAATTATTTGAAAAAGCGGAAAGGGTAGTTTTTGCAAGGGTAGGGGGTTGTTTCGTGAATAACTTCTTTGAGGTTATTCTTTTTGCAACGTGGGTTGCAAAAATTATTTCGTTTTTAAAGCAATAAGATGTTTTAAAAATCATGAAATTTTGATTTTCCAATTAATTATTTAATAACTACTTGGTTACTTTTGAACCGCCATAACTTCCATAAGTTTATGTTGAGTTAGCAACCCATCAGAGCAAACTCTCTGCCTTCAATTTTCTCGAAAACCATCACTCTGAGCGATGTGCAAAACGAGTGCCTTTTTTGTAGGAAAAAGTATGTAGTTTTCAAAAAATGAACCCACGTTGCAAAAAAAATAACCTCAAAAAAGTTATTCACAAAACAACCCCCTACCCTTGCAAAAACTACCCTTTCCGCTTTTCCAAATAATTTTTCAGTATCACCATTTGATTTACGGTCAAAATTTATGGCAGAGAATTTTTTTCGAAATTTTTTCTCGTTTTTTAAGCAAGCTACAATTTCAAAACAACCGTTTTTTAAATTCACCCTTTCAGTGCCCCTAACTCCCTTAATATGCATTTTCCGCCCTATACTTATAGGAACTTTTTTTACTATTTTTAGGAGTATTATAACCCCCCGATTTTTTACACCATTTCAATGACACCTTGATCCAGGAAATTATGGAAGATTTACCCAATTACAGTGCAACAAATTTAAATAAGTTTTTGAAGAACAAGAAAAATAATTTAAATATATCTGTAAACATGAGTATCTAGTATATTTCCCAGTAAATCCGAGCTTCCATTATTCGCAAATGAATGATAAAACTGAAAAACCGTTATTTATTATTTCTCGCAGATCTGTCCAAATAGAACGGAGTATTCCTAAATCGTTTCGTTTTCATCAGATCAGTCTGATCTGATTACCTATACCCACTTCTACGAAGTAATAGTCTTCTTTTGGCAGAATTTTCTGAAAAGAGCCCGTTTTTACCGGCAAATGAACCATATAGTTGGTTCTGGTGCGGTTAAAACTTAGCGGCACTTGCAAAAACGCATATTGTAGTTATGTTCTGTATTAATAACTGTAACACATTCTGCAGAAAAAAAATAAGTAAAAAAGCTCGTATAAATGAATGTCCTAAAATGCTTAGTTTCGGAGATACAGGGTGTAGAAGTTTCATTTTATTTCGATTTTTTTCGAAATAATTAGTAATAAAGTAATGTAAGTAATGTCAATATTTGGATAAAAATTGGTGTCTAGGAGTTTTTTGATATGAGAAATCTGATTTTGATGTAAATATGTCTCCTAATTATAGAGGGCGCCACCTACATATTTTTTAACCGGTTTGATGAGTAATAACTTTTCGTCCGGACCTGTATAAAACTAACGATAAACATTTTTTACGCAAAAAAAGTCTCTTGATAAAAAAAAACATTTTAAGGCATATATTTATACAAACTTTTATACTTATTTTTATCTGCAGAATATGCTGCCGAAGTTTCCGGAATATAGTTCGGACCACCCCTGTATTATAAATATATTTCAAAATAGATAAAAAATATTATTACTATTAGAGGATATTTTAAATTGAATGATTTCATTGTTCCATTTTTAAGTTTAATATATTTTGGTAGGCCTATACGCTTTACTTCACTATCTGTAAAAAATAATTATGTAAATTGTCTAATAGTGAAAGTGCAAAGTAGCGTTACTAAGGCTTTTTCAGTAATTTCATCGCTTGTCAGTAAAGAAAGCTGTACGAACAAAACCATTAAATAAACGAAATGTTCATAAAGCTTATAGTTATTTAAAAAACTGTGTTAATTAGATGAACATGTATGAATATAAGTTTGAATATTGCATATTTCTATTGTTATAAAAAATATACAGTATGATCAAAAATTTTAAAATCAAGTATACACATCGGCCAATAAGGTAAAAAAATTTTACGCAAAATTATATTATAATGTAAGTACATACCAACGTTCCAAATTAACGCGATCTCAAAAGTGTTTGTTGAATATCATGAAATTTATTATTCTAATTTAATTAGACATTCTGAAAACTTTGTTATAACTTAGTTTAGTGATAGAATCAGACAGGTTTTTAATTACATCTATAATGTCGATTTTATGGTTTAAATGGAACTTTCTCTTCGCGTGGTCTTGGCTTGTAAGTGTTACAGTCCGAAAAAAAAACAGAAATGTTAATTTTCAATGAAAGATCCAGATGAATAAATCAAGCAAGTTTGCGTTCAAGGTACTATCAAAATCGGTAGCGAATTAAAAAGAGGTTGTACTTGTCAGATAAGCAGTCGATGATTCATAGCAAGTTATTCTGTGTTCCTAATTTTATTTAAAATGTGACACAGGTTTTTAAAAATAACAATTGTTAAGAGCTTGACGTACCATTTTTTTAATACCAAATTTTCTAATTAGTAGTATTTTTAATAGAGTATTTTTTTAATTCCGAATAAATTTTAGGAATTCAAATGGTACTTGTCTATCTATTATAATATACTAATCTATAACTGAATTTTATTACTGAAGAGTTTATTATCTCTGAGTTTTTAGCGATTAAAACTTATAAAAGCGTCCCTTAGGAATGCACGAAATTTCGCAAAATAGGATCGAGAATATCGATAGTTTCATGTTCGATGCTTAATATTTCGTATCGATAATATCGATACGATGCATTGCACGTATCGAAATATAATGCATATGATGTATTGATGCCAATCCAAAACTGACTTTACTTTATTTGAAAATAATGACGGTATTTGAAAGGCTCAGCTTTTTGACACTTTACTGTTAGTGCTTAATGCCAGATGATGTTATTTCAGCAAATTCAGTTATTAGAAAAGCGTATCTTTCTACTATTTTTTGCTATTTTGAGTTATGGCAAAAAGTAACTTTAAGGCTCGGAAGGCGAACATAATGATAATAAATAAACCAGAAACATAAATAAAAATCAACAAAAACCTAACCATTCATCTACTGCACCACGGTCGGTAAGGAAGGTCTCTGCCTGAACCCCCTGCTACCATCTGGCCCTTTGGGCATCCTAACAACGTTCTCAAAGTTCTGGAAAGCAGCGCTATTGCTCCTGCTTCTATTGGCGCCCGACGATTCGGAGGTTTGGCTGACAGATGACATTCGTCTGTTGAAACTGTCACCGCTAGAGGCGCTACAAGCGCTCATCCTGCGCGGCAAAAACAAGCTAGAATCACTGGAATCTCTGGAACTGTAGGATAACCTGCGGGGCATGTAGAGAAAGTTCGCTTCGGTGGAAGAAGCTGAGAGGCGTCTTTGAAGCCAGGCGGCCGGTTCAATGAATCGCGATGGGAAATGAGCTGAGGATCCTCTACGCATTTTTCCTGAAATAAAATAACATTTATAAAAAAACAGTCGGTCTAAGAAATTTTTCAGTCTAATAATTTTTAGGGGAGGGGGTTAAACGCTAAAATATACTCGAACAGGCAAACAAGTACTGCTCACTGTTAATCTACAAAATGTCTATATAGTAATTTCTATATAGCAAGAGGGATAAAACAAAGTACTAAAATACTAATGAAGTAATTATTATTAATATACCAAAAGTTTCAGATTGATTGTATAAGTGGCTATTAGCATATTCCACTGCACTATTAGCCTATTCGCTGCTTTACAGATCGGTTATAGTTCTTTTATTATCTTTATATTATATTCTCGAGTCGTATTATTTTCAAAAAGCTTGATAATTTGAAAACAAAACCTTCCATATAGTTCATTGCTTGATGACTTATCAAATAGGATCGCACATTTGCCAGGCTATCCCACTGACATAGAGTATGTCCTGTTTTATACTTTTCTGCGGTGTTCTATCTTTCTATTGAGAGTTTCTTATATTGAGAATTTGCAAAAGTGTTCTGTAAATAACATTAGGTTTAAACGCACATTGGGCTAGCAATGCGCGATGCCCTGTTAGTAGGTCGGATTATAGTTTATAGAGTTTTCCGGTATTTACTTATTAGGCCTGGCATAAATTTTGGCAAGTGTTCTACTATGAAGTGTTACACCTGCCAAAGATTTTTAATTTTTTTATTAAAATTATTATTAATGATAAACGTTCTCTAACCCAGTGTGAGTACATATTATCAAAGTAAAACCTCTGAAGGCGGGTAAGGGGATAAATAACTCACAATCTTAAGATGTTTTTTTTAATTTAAATTCTTCAAAAAAAGCAGGGGGGCGACATGTTTGTCGGGACTTAAACAATTCCCATTATCAGGCCCAGAAAGACAAACGTCAACCTAGGAAGTTTAATTAAGTTCATTTCTTCCGAGTGGTGGTACTTCCTAGGTTGACGTTTGTCTTTCTGGGCCTGATGATGGGAATTGTTTAAGACCCGACAAACATGTCGCCCCCCTGCTTTTTTGGAAGCATTTAAATTTAAATAAACATCTTAAAGATTGTGAGTTATTTGTCCCCTTACCCGCCTTCAGGGGTTTTACTTTGATATTATTAATGTTTTAATTTTTTTTTTTTAATAAGAGTATAAATATTTATAAACCACCCCGACCACCTACATTGTTTTATACCGATTTTTCTAATTGCTTTTGCAGTACCGCATAGTTCCAGACCTACGATTGAATGGTACTGATGAGCCTTGTTTGAGTATTTTATCTGTACCGTAGTTACATTTATTAGCTAATAATTTTCGTCGTAAAGGTAAAACAAGAGCTCGCAATGTTATTTCTGTTACATTGTACCTTAAATAAAAAAAACAGAGTCATAGTTAGCTTGTGAAAATGACGATCGATAAAATTCATCATATAATTTTACCTGTCATCGATCGTCGTTTTTAAATTAAATCTGAAGTTGTTTTTCGATCGTACGGTACATATACAATGTAACCCACGTGGCGCTAAGTACAGACTGGCCGCAACTAAAGAAAAGGCCAGACGTTTAATCAATCTTTGCCAGTAAACACCTTGTTAAGCGCGGTAGAGGCGAAGCCTTATCGTACGATTTGCTTGCTTCGAAAAAACCTTGTAGATACAACGTTATGTGTGGACAGCAAGTTTAAACAAATTTTACTGCGCAAACTCGGAAGACATAGTTAACATTTTGACCATTTTAGTAACCGTGTTCTGGACCGTCTTGAACATTATCTCTAGTTAAGACGTTTAGCTTGCCTTTATCATTATTTAAACAAATTGCAAAAACTAACCACATTTCCCCCATGATATGACAGAACAAAAAGTCGTTGGAATAACAACATAACTTGGTTTATACGTTTTATCTGCAAATCGTACGATAAGGCTCCGCGGCAACTGCATCGGATCGGACCGACCAGCAAAAGCGACTGCGACCATCGTACATATAGACGGCGCCGGCGTCCACTAAAACATTTCGGCCTGTAGAGGCCAGATTCCTACCTCTACCTATCTACGATAGTCGAGTCATCGCCTTCGCCGTTTCTCGCCGGCCCGATCCGATGCAGTGCGCGCGGAGCTTAAGTCGTTGCGTCTAGACTGCGCTTAACACAGTGTCCCGAAAAAAAAATGGTAGTATTATTATAGTGCGTATCAAAAGTGGCTCACCCCTATAACTTTTTTATTTTTTTTTCAGATACAAAAACAAGATCTGGTATCATAGTATATGACATAAATTAGGATTAATTGACGTATTCAATTCTTTTTGGCTGCTTCCTGTTTCACCGGAAACGACTACAACTTTTGATTTTTAAATAGCACCCCCTGTATTTTTTTACTTTATTCACTAGAAAATGACACTCTAAATAGAAAGACATATAGAATATAGACAACTTTTGACATTTTCGCTTAAAACAAAATTGTATTTTAAATTTCAATCTAGAGTGCCACGGCTGTGTTAAAAACACTATTTTTTAATCAAGGAGCCTTGGAAAATAGATTTGATCATCTAATGTTTTAGTGTCTTGTTATGGCCGGTTAAAATATGCTCAAATCATTTTTTTAAGGGTGAGGACACACGAGGCGGCTATAAGCTGCGGCGGCGTCGGCACTTTGTTCCTAGCCGCGTGTATACGCTCGGCGGCCGCCGCCGCGCCGCTCCGTCCGTGTCCGTGTGTTTTGTACCATTGAAATCTCATTGAAGAGCCTACGCAGGCGGCACAACTCGCGGAACACAGTGCGTTGGATGGTCATTCTAGACAACAATCTTGTATTTATTTATTTATTAATAAATTCAGTTGTTAATAAATAAATGAATTTAACTCTATGGTTACTATATATCAGACCATTTGCCACGTTCTTAGTTTTTATTTAAATCTCAAACATCGCTACTGATGTTTTGTCCCGCTAGACTTACCATCCGCCTCAGTGTTCAGCGCCGCGTCGCGTCGACGAAAAGCCGCCGCGTCTGTTCTTACCCTAATCATATCTTATTTTTTTCAAATGGAATGACGCGACAGTGACTCATTGGCATATTTCGAAAAAACATTTTTTTACGAATAAATTGGTACCACACACTTCATATTTCGAGTCAAATTGTCGTTATGAATAGCATGTGGCAATTTCAAATAAACTATATTCGAAAATATCAAAGTTGACATATGATATGTCATTCTATTCAGAGTTCTATCGAATAAGGTAGTAATATACCGAGGGTGCCATTTAAAAATCAAAATGTGTCGTCATTTTCGGTGAAACAGGAAGTCAATGAAAATAATAGAATACGTCAATCAATCCTAATATACAGGGTGGTCCAAACTGTATTCCGGAAACTTCGGCAGCATATTCTGCAGATAAAAATAAGTAAAAATGTTCGTATAAATGTATGTCCTAAAATGCTTAGTTTCGGAGATACAGGGTGTAGAAGTTTCATTTTTATTTCGATTTTTTCCAAATAATTTATGAAGTAACGTCAATATTTGGATGAAAATTGGTGTCTGGTAGTTATTTGACATGAGAAATTCGATTTTCTTGTCCATATGACTCTTACTTGTAGAGGGCGCCACCTACATATTTTTTAACTGGTTTGAAGCGTAATAACTTTTCATCCATACCTATATAAAACTACTGAGTAAAAAAATATACATTTTCGATTTTTTTTACATCGCCAAGAGTAATGGTTCTAGAGATATTTGGAATCGAAATTATCAATGCCTGTCATCACTGACATAATTAAACATGTTGACTAAATAGTTATTAAACTGAAATCATAAATTTGAAATCTTTTTGTGCCAAAAGTTCATCAATAAATTTTTATTTTTTAAATTAATCATCATTTTTTCGCAGAAAAAATTATGATTAATTTAAAAAATAAAAATTTATTATTTCAGTCAAATAGCTATACTCAACACGTGCTTATTTTTGTCAATAATGACATGTATTGACTATTTCCATTCTAAATATCTTGAGAACGGTTGCTCGTAGCGATTTTTACCAAGAGATATATTTTACGTAGAAAGTCATGGAAATGTATATTTTTTCATTCAGTAGTTTTATACAGGTACGGACGAAAAGTTATTACTCTTCAAAACAGTTAAAACACATGTAGGCCACGCCCCCTACAAATAGGAGTCATTATGACATCAAAATCAAATTTCTCGTGTCACAAAACTTCCAAACACCAATTTTCATCGAAACATTGACGTTACTTCATAAATTATTTGGAAAAAATCGAAATAAAAATGAAACTTCTACACCCTGTATCTCCGAAACTAAGCATTTTAGGACATACATTTATACGAACTTTTTTACTTATTTTTATCTGCAGAATATGCTGCCCAAGTTTCCGAAATACAGTTCGGACCACCCTGTATGTCATATACTAACATACCACAGTCCAATTTTTTATATGAAAAAATAAAAAAGTTACAGGGGTGAGCCTACTTTTGAGATGCACCCCGTAGAGTTAGAATAATAATAAATAAAAATATCAAAGTTAATAATAATTATCAAAATTAAATAAAATAAAATTTAATTAAAATAATCAAAACCGAAAATCGTAAACAAAAGGTCATCAGAAAGCAGTCATGTCATTGAAGACGCGGTTGGTCTTCTTTAGATAAGGAAACAATACTAACTTTAGATATTTTTATCAGATGTTTCTTTTCTTTATATATGTTTTTCGTTACAAGTACTCTAAAATTTTTTCAGCAGGTTCGTAAATTTAAAGAGTTATTAAAATGTTAATTATAAAGATAGCTTTCTTTTAACAGCTGTTTAATGATGTCCAAGCATCAGTTACATCGTCGAGTGAGCCCAGTACAATTATTAATATCGAAACATTTCTCTTCACAATCACGAACGACTTATTTACCTCGAGTAATACGGTTAAATAGTTCAAATAATACATCGCTAATTTAGAGAATTATTATTATTTTCAAGAGTAATGTCCTCTAGAATGTTCCACTTGAATAAGAAAGGTGAACGCACTGCAAGAACTAAGTATATGTAAGAGTATCTTTGCAATAAACTATTAACAGGTTTTAATCGTTTTGAATAATTTTACGCTTTGTTAACAACAAATTACTACTGATTTATTAACTAATCTTCCAATTGAAACAATATTATTTCTAGTATCAGTTTAAAATACGTTCATTCATTTTTCTTTAATATTATTTTATTTCGCCTTTACCATGCCAATCACTTAATTTTTTCTCTTACTGGTCATTATGAGTTTTTTTGACACATTTATTCGTCGATTCATGAAACTTACTCACCCCATATAATTCGCTTTTAATAAGCCCAAATTTAAAGTTGTACAGGGTGGGCCAAATCGAACGCTTTTAAAGGGAAACATCCTTTTCTATAGGAGATGGAGGAAAACTAATATCGGTGTCTGTAGCTCAATTTTTATCAAAAACATGATGGTAAAAACTGCACATCGGTATCTGTTACCGTTATTAAACCGTACCTAACCGTTTCGGAGTTACGGGGTGTTTTTCAAAAATGTGCATTTTTAACACTAGGGAAAATGTTGTTTTTTTTTTATGAAAACATTTCCAAAGCACCTTTTTACGTAGAATTTAATTGTTTAAGTATAATTTTTTAAATTAATAGTTTAAGAATTAACAACAAAAAAATTATTTTTTTTCTACGAAATACCCTGTATATTTTTAATTCATTGAAAAGAATTTAAAATAACCTTTCCAAAAATATAGCATACTTGATATTTTGCTCGATTCCTCTTCAAGATATACTTTTAAAAATTCGCCCACTTTGTAATAAGTAGGCTTTGAACGGCGCCGGTTGTAATGCAAAAAAATTCTAGCTGTGAGCAGCAATTAAAACGAAAATAATATTTGCAATGACAGATGCAGAATTTTATAACAATTTAAACTTTATTTAACAACATCAACACGTTTAAACTATATCTAATAACAATAAAAATTAATAGCCAAACCAAGACATGATATTTTCCTACAGGTGTTCGACATGTTGACCGACCGTCTTCTGTTATGGACAGACAGGACCGTTTTTGAACATTTCTCGCGGAATTCATAAACTCAGTGGGGGGTTAAAGATACCCTCGCATAACCGCTAAGTACTTCTAATTCTTGTCTAGATTATACGGGCAATTTAATAAATAAGAACCTTTATTCTTCCGCAAACATAAAAATCCATAGGCACTAAGTCCGGCGGCCTCGACGGCCAACGGCTGGGATTTTGGTTAGCTATTCAATTATTCTCGAAAATGGCTGCAAAAATTTGCTAATAACTTCAGCGTTCTGAGAAGGTGCCTATTCTTGCTGGAAAAATATGTTTTCGAGTTTCATTAGGGGCAGATAATAAAGGGTCCAAAGCCTACTAGTTAAAAGTGGCGAACCTTTAAACATTCTGTATTTCGGCGGGGACTATAACAAAATATCAAGCGTGCTATATTTGTGGAAAGGCAATTTTAAGTTATTTTCAGTTAATTAAAATATACAGGGTATCCCAAATAAAAAAATCATTTTTTCTGTTGATTAAACCATTAAAGTCTACGTAAAAAGGTGCTTTAGAAATGTTTTCATATAATAAATACAAAATTTTCCATAGCAAAAAAGTTACAGAGATTTGTTAAAAATGCACATTTTTGAAAAACACCCCGTAACTCCGAAACGGTAACAGATCGATGTGCGGTTAGGTTAGGTTTATTAATTTTTATCAAAAACATGATGCGTTGGTAAAAATCATGTTTTTGATAAAAATTGAGCTCCTGACACCAATATTAATTTTCGTCTATCTTCTATAGAAAAGGGGTTTCCCTTTAAAAGCGTCCAATTTGACCCATACTTTACACTTTCCTTACAAAATCAGTATACGTAATTGAAAAATTTAATAACTATATATAATGAAATTCCTTCCTTCACACATATTCATCCCTGTAACTACCCTCGTACGGGTTAACAAGTAAGTCATAGAGATATACGTGCGTAAGTTTATTAAGTGTACACTTCTCATCAAATGTGTGTATTACATATAATTTTTAAACTCACTTCCCCCCAACATTCCAAATCAATACTAGAGCTCCTAACATTTACTTTAATAAAATGGTACAATATTCAATGTAGAGTTTGGTAGAACATAATTCTAAATTATAACAAGAAAACTAAATTATAAATATTATTTTTCTTGAAAAAAAATTGAAATAAAAGGATTGAATCAAAAATGATGTTTTCGAGTACCTAAATATTCATCATGTCTCTGACGCAAATATGTTATCTCTGAACAAATACACATTAATTCATAAATATAATGAGATTAATAACCCTGCAAACTTGCGGTAAGTAAGGTTACCAACGTTTAAAAATGCTAAATAAATATGTTTTAATTTAAATAAATTTAGATAGCTATTTGACTTCCTAGCAGCCCATACAGTTATCGTATTATATTATAAAAATTTAAAAATAGTTAAATTTTTAGAAGCTACATTAAAGTTATACAATTTAAAATTAATAATATATTTATGGTATAAATCTTTTTATGTTATAAAGTTGAACGGACTAGAAATTGAGCTCACAATCAAAAAATAACTTGTAGCTGTAAGGGGATGTGTAATAATATGTATTCAATCACTGAAAAAGTGATTAAATCTGGTATTTTTTATATTATGTTTAATAATTAATTTATCTTAACTAATAAAAATATCCGAATTGAGAATAATGCTGTATATGTTTCTTTTTTGTATAATAAATAAGTATAAAAAATAAGTATATGTGTTTTATTTTGCGAAAATAATAATTTTAATTAATTATCGATATCTTAAGCACAGTCTTAGGGATGAGTTTAAACTATTCAGTGTTAAGTACCTCTAAAAATATACAGGATGATTCACTCTATCAAACTAGCTCTATAGCAAGTTTCCTGTTTTAGATATTTTTTTCAATTTTATTTAGAAAAAATGTATACAATGAGAACACAAATATTAAAAATTTAAATTTTTAATATACATAGTGATTTCGTGTACTTATTTTCAAACTAAATATGTATTTTTTACAAAAAATATTATAATTTTTACTAAGAGAATTTGCCATAAAACTAACCTAACCATATCAATTTTTTTATTATTAAAATAATAAATTAAACCCACCTAAAAATGTATGTTAATAAAAGCTGTGTTCATTAATGACGGATACAAAATATTCCATTTAAAATAATGGAGAAAAATACGGTATTTAATTTTGATCCAATCTCTATACCGGGTGTTTCTCAAAAGTGGCTCATTCCTGTAACTTATTTATTTTTTCAGATAAATAAACGAGGTTTGGGACGAGATTTAGTTTCGTACATAAATCGGGATAGATTGACGTATTCAATTGTTTTCGGCCACTTCCTGTGTCACCGGAAATTACTACAACTTTTGATTTAAAAAAAAATCAAATGGAACGATGGTGGCTCATTAGCATATGGAAAAAGATTTTTTTAACAAATAATTTGGTACCACATACTTGATATATCCAGTAAAATTGTCGTTATATTTATAGCCATGTCCAAAAAAATATCAAAAGTTGACATATGATACGCCATTCTATTCAGAATGTCATTTTCTATCGAATCAACTAAAAGAAATACCGAGGGCGCCATTTAAAAACCAAAAGTTGTAGTCATTTCCGGTGAAACAGGAAGTGACAGAAAACGATTGAATAGGTCGATCAAACCTAATTTATGTCATATACTAACATACCCAATTTCGCTTTTTTATCTGAAAAAATAAAAAAGTTATAGGGGTGAGCCACTTTTGAGAAACACCCGGTTTACCTATACCAATACCAATATCCCTCTCTCTCTCTCTCTCTCTCAAAATAGTGTAGTTTATTATAAACAAGATGGCTATTATTGTGTTCCTTTAGTTAAACTTCGCCTAAATTTTGCGAACAATTTTAGTGTCGTCGTGCTTTAGAATACATAATACAGTTAAAAAGTTATCAATTTTAAAAACCACTCGATAGAGATAAGATATTATTTTTTTTAATGAGAACGTTATAAGATTTTTTAAAAGTAATTCTCACCTCTAGGATCGAACTTTCTGATGTCTTCTGCCTCCGAACCGCTTTGACACGAAGAAATATAGTCAGACTCCGAGCTAAATCCCTTATGGTTGTTATTATTGTTATTATTAGCTATCTTCTTGATGTTCTTCTTCTTTCTTTCCGGATGAGGTACGTTGTTTAGCTCGTAAACCTTCATAGGCTCTCCAAGAGAAGTCTGGAGTTGAAGTGCGTTCCTGGCAGATTCCGAAGCAACAAACTCCACCAAGGCACAAACCACACCAGCCAGAGAAGGATTTTTGTTGATAAACTGCCTCACATCGGCTGGAATGGGATTCCCAGGCCTAAGAATACGAATCAGTGCTATTTCCCCACAGTTTCTGAATAATTCTGCCACATTTTCTATGGTTGGTTTATCGATCGGCATGTGAACAGCCACAACGGTTCTGGATGGAGTGGTTTCGTCGTATTTAGGCAGAGGTTCCAGTCGTCTCAATTTGGTACCAGCATCGTTTATTTCCAGTTTTTTTGAACGAGATAAAGCGTGAGCTACAACTCTCCAGTCTTTTGTAAGATGTTTGACGCGTTTGAAGCTAGAAATAAGCTTAAGAGAAACGTACCCTTCCTTGTTCCTCTTCACGTGCTTCAGTAAAAACGCGTCTTTCGTGATGTTAGCGTCAGAAAAATAGAATTCGACTTGCTGGACTATTTTATCAGCTAATTCGTCACTGGGAGGTGTAAAAGGAGGTTCGGTGACTTCGGGAGTTACCTCGCAACCTGAGTCTTTTCCTCCACCTGCAGATCCGGTATCGGAGGCGCTGTCTGATAGGTCACCCATGTGAGCACCCTCATCTTCGTTTTCAGTGATCTGAGTATCGGTGAGGCTTGATTTTCGATCATAGGAGAGACTAACGTCGCTGTCAATGGAAGATATTGAGTCTCTAGGATCCAGTACTTTTGCCGGAGGTATCAGGTCTCCCAGTTGGTCTTCTTGTTCCGCTGTTGGGGTTAATTCTTGAACTGGGGCCGGCATAATTGTAACTTAATAACTTAAACTAGTATCACAAAAAATATCACGTCTTTTAGGATTTTATCAGGTGTTTTCAGTCTCGGTCGCGATGAGCAATGAGAAAAAACGATTTTGGATGTTCGTTTTTGGGTTGATAAATTAGGTCGTACGTGGTGTTTTGGTTCTGCTACTGCCACAACACGTCGTTGGATGACCTAGCTAAGTCGTACTGAAAGTCGGGGCCGGTGGTGCGCCGCATTTTATAGGTGGAGTGCGCGTCAGGTCGATGCCCACTCCACGGTACTGCCGGTGTGTGCGAGTGTGTAGTACTTGAGCATTACCGGCGCAAGGCGTCCTCCAGGTGGAAATTTGCGGAAAATAAACGCTGCTTTTTTGTAGATTGGTTCGTTATTAGGTCAGGGATTGAGGATGTTGTGGATATGTATACGAATATGGAACTGTCGGAATATTAAATAGGATCAAATCGCTAGGGATGTCCATTGTAAAAAAATATCGATAAACAAGGTGTAAATGAATACCCGCAGAAAGAATCAGGTGATTACTTTTTTAAAATATTTTTATATGATTTTTTTATATCTCATGTTTGCGTACAAAGTTATTTAGTTATAGAGGGTGAGTCTTAAATAAGTGCACATATTTTCAGGGCTGGTAGATCTCGATAAAAGAAACATATTTTCTCCTAACCGTTTTTCAAATAAGTCCATAATAACAGTTATTTTACTTTAATTTGAAAATGAAAACAAAAAGATTGTTAATTTTCAGAACCTCTAGATTTATTTTGTTTTCATTCCCTAAATTTAATCTACTACCTATGATTCCATATTACTAAGAATATACAGGATCCGGCAATAGTGCGTCGGGCATCTGTAGCTCCTAGAATAAAAAACTTCAGAATTTTGTTTAAGTGCAAACCTAAAGTATGTACCAGGATGTATTTCTGGAAAATATTTTAACTTCTATAGGGTGGCGCAAAAGAGTGTGGGTGGACCTGGGTGATTTATTTTAAATGGAACACCCTGTATATTACTGCATTTTTGGCTTCCTTTCACATCATTTTACATAACCCTGAGATATGAATAAATATATTTCGATAGTTTCAGAGATATTAAAAAATAAATCAAAAATATAAATTTTTTAGCCCTTCTTAAAAAAATTATTAAAAATACAAGCACTGTTCTGAAATCAAAACTATATTAGGTATTCACTTTAGATGATTTGTTCTTACTTTGCTGTAAATATGGTAATCGTAAATCATACAGGATGTTCAATATTCTACGCGAAACTTTCTAAAATATAAAATATTTTTTCTTTGTTTTTTTAAATGGAATACCCTGTATATTATTTTTTTATTAGATGGAGAGTTAAAAAATGAACATTTTTTGTATATAGAGTATTTCAAAATTTTTAACGGTTTCGCAATTACACGCAGTATTATTTCATATGGCGCTCTCATTATAAAATACGAGAGAAAAATCAAAAGGTGGCTTTGATAAAAATTTACTGTGGAAAATGCCATATGAAATATAAAACCGCAAATATCTGCGAAACCGTTAAAAATTTTGAAATACTCTAAATACAAAAAATATTCATTTTTTAATTCTCCGTCTATTGAAAAAATAATATACAGGGTGTTCCATTTAAAAAAACCAAGAAAAATTATTTTATATTTTAGAAAGTTTAATGTAGAATTTTGAACATCCTGTATAATTTACGATTTTCATATTTATAGCAAAGTAAGTTCAGACCATCTAAAGTAAATACCTAAAATACTTGTGATTTCAGAACAGTTCTTGTATTTTTAATAATTTTTTTAAGAAGGGCTAAAAAATATATATTTTTGATTTACTTTTTAATATCTGTGAAACTATCGAAATATATTTATTCATATCTTAGGGTTATGTAAAGTGATCTGAAAGGAAGCCAAAAATGCAATAATATACAGGGTGTTCCATTTTAAAAAAATTACCCAGGTCCACTCACATTTCTTGAGCCACCCTATAGAAGAATATTTTCCTGGAATACATCCTGGTACATACTTTAGGTTTGCACTTAAACAAAATTCTCAAGTTTTTTATTCTAGGAGTTACAGATGCCCGACGCACTATTGCCGGACCCTGTATAAACAAGGATATTATCAAGACATTATATTTTTTAACCGAAAGTTTTAAAAATTTTTTTTTTTTTAAAAAAATTTAACCTTTTCAATTTTATTTCTCGAAAAAATCTTTATAGGCTTGTTCCTGTTCCTAGCGCAAAGTATTTAAAACTCAGCCCGTATAAAGTGCACCAATATATCATTCGGTGTGTGGGTAAAATAAATCGAATGGCGTTTTTTATTTCTTTCCCTGGATTTCTTAAGCGTTTTTTGTTACTTCGTCAAATTTGTTTAACTTGTAAAACGGCAGTGACAGGATAGTTTCCATTTGAACTCTTAAGGGTTGATTTTCACCTATACCTTCCATATCAGCTCCCTTCCGTTTACATAAAATATTATATCACGTAAATGAATAGGACAATGCACAGTATCCGTTCCGTTTCCCTTCCGTTCCATATCCTTTCCTGCCATACATTTCTTTGGCGGACGGACTAAAACTCTGTTAACATTTTGCTGATATTTATTTATTCTTTCACCTCTTAATTAAATCTATCACCTTTTTCAAAAGATACAAATTTTTAAAATAAAATTTTCGTAATGATATTAATTATTGTACAATAAAAAGTATGGAACTGATACGGAACGGAAACTTAAGTATAGCGTCAATACAATAAAAAATACGGAACGGATATGGAGTGGAAACGGAACGTATAGTAAGAATCAACCTCAACATAGTGAAATTTTAGAAAAAATAACTTTTTCATCAGGATTTTTTAAAAATATATACAAGGTGTCCCAGAAATAAGTGCAAGTATTTTAACTGGTATGTTCAACCCCAGAAACACGCCTTTATATGAGGTTTTTTTCGCGAAAAATTTTTTGGAATGTTTTTTAGTTTTTAGTTAAAAAAACAAAATTTCTTGATAATATGGCAACATAGGTATTAAATTAAATTTACAAGAAAGAAAATCCAGAAAAGATCCAGTGGATCTCAAAATTTTAGTAAAAAATAATTTTTTTCATATATGGGATCCTATAAATCCTAAGGCACTTTTCCAGGCTCCACCCCTTCAAGTTATTTTCTTTATCAGACTCTACTTATACATATTATGGTGAATACATTAATATTAAAATATTAGATATTTCTATCCTAATTCTTTGGAATATGGAATTGTCAATAGGGGAATTATTATTAATAATTATTATGAAAATCTCAAAATTATATTTTTATTACCTGACGATAAAATTTGGACTTTCCAGATAGGTAGTTAAAGTTAAATACAAACATCTAAAAAGCAAAACATGTTATTTAAAAAAATGCAAATATCTTAAAAGATAATTTAATATGCACTTTGCCAACCGGTAAATACTGGAAAATCCAAACATAATAGTAAAGTATCTACTACTACTCTAAAATATCTACTAAAATAATAAACTAATTGTTAAAAATAAATATTTTGTGCATATTTGGAGTAAAATATTTTCTTAATTTATATGTATATTTTTAAAACAATTTATTCATAGTTGGGTTTCCATAATTATAATATACTTAATATGTCTAATACTTTAATTATTATATACTTAATATCCTATACTATATAAACATATGTATACCTTCTTTCATCTTTTGGGCACCTAAAGAACGATATATTGTCTGTCATTCTACTTTCACAACCATCCACTGCACAAATATTTCTAGTAGATATTTTAATCACAATTCGAACAAAACAACTAAAGCGCTATTTTTGGTTCACCCTATGCGTCGGACCGAAAACAAAACTAAAATAAACTTGGAACGCTGTGTACACGTCGAGCAACGGATGTAGACTGACCCAAGTCTACAAGACAGGCGGGGAGCGGCGGGAAGAATTTTGATACGGGCGAAGAGTGGGCCAACTGATATATTTATATTCTTTCAACTGTGCCGTTATTTTGGACTTATTTGAAAAACGATAAAGAGAAAATATGTTTCGTTTATCGATATCTACCACCCCTTAAAATACTTGCACTTATTTCTGGGACACCCTGTATATATCGATATTTTGATATATCGACCTATTTTGACATCCCTACAAATCTATCAGTATAACAAACTATATATAGTTTATTGTTTATTTAAATAGAATTCAGAGATTATCGGGAAAGTATAAAAAATACTTCCGATATACCTACTAAATGTTTTTTTCAGTATTATTATTATTAGGGTACCACCTATTTTTTTATTTACTTTATTTTAAGATATCTACCTATCTTTTGATTTGATTTTGTTTTTTTTTTCTATTTATATCACATAATAATAATTTACTTTAATAATAATAACAATAATACTATTTTTTCTTGTAAATCAGTTATTTGTCAGGTCACGGATTGAGGATGAGGATACGTACGAAAGTGAACTGTCGGAATATTAAATAGTATTAAATTGGTCGGTTGTTGTTTATTTAAATCCAAGTCTTGCTCTTTAATGGCAGTTATAAAAATACTTCCGATAAAGATGTTTGTATTTTGGTACTTTTTATATTTATAAGGTTACTTTTTTATTTATTAGGTACAAATTTCTGTGTTGGAAGAAAAAACAGAAATTTGTTCCGTTCTAGAACGGTAATTTGGATGATCACCGGCAACAGATTTGTACACGTGTATCGACTTGGGACAGTTTTGTTACTATACCAAAATTAAATGGGGGTTGGAACTTGGAACGGCTTTTGATCTGATTTTAGAATCAAATTCAAAACCAAATTTTTAATTATTGACATGGGTTAGATATAGTTAGATATGGGTCAGATATGTGTTAGATATATTTTTCATATAAATTTCGATTTTGTATTGTATTGTATTTATAAGGATTATTGAATTGATCTATTTTCTAATTAATTAAGCCGAAATCATATTTGCTTTATTTAACAAATGTTTCAAATCATCATCTCCAGTTGTATCCACATACTCAATCATTGTGCTCTTCGTCACTCATAATATTTAGTATTTAGTACAAAAATATAAAAAATATTTTATATATATTTTTTTTAACTTGCTTTTAGGCTGGTATCGAAATAACCGTTCCCTATAGGCTTGGTGCATTCTCCGCCGGTGTTGCCACCGCCCGAGAATATCGTAAATAACGAACACATACAAATACACGGGTTTAAATGGCGAGTAAACGAAAAAATTAGTATATAATTATTCTAAAAGTGTTAGAAAGTATAATTTGTGGAAATTCTAAACAAAAAAACAAAAAGGTAAATATTTTGATATCTTCAGATCTAACTTGCATTATAATTTATTATTCCAGTTAAAAATTTTTTAGATGAGTTCAACTACGGTAGCGAGCGTAATTTTATCACCGGTTTTGCTAGTGGGGCATAAGTGGGAGCTATTTCGGCTATAACGCCATTTTTTAAGGGTACATAATTATAATTTTAGAAGATGTTCATAAAACATTTAATCACTAGTTTATTAAAAAAGTATACCATTAATATTGCAAATTTTTCATCTTCTCAGAGTTTATTTATTTAATTTTTTGATTATGTAACGAGCACTTTGTTTACTCACTTGTTTCGTCGAACTGCTTGAATCCATTTTTGCTATTGACTAATGATCAAATCGGTGTAAGAAATTATGAAGCTATAAAATGTTGTTTCGGGAGAGTTGAATATCCGAGAAAATTTTGAGTTATTGAATGTTATTGCACCCAACAACGCCCTAATTACGCTATCCTTTACGCGTTAACATTTTTTTGGGCAATTTTATTAACATTTGAAATTGTCACAACACAACAGCCCGCCTAGTTCGAATTCTTTTTCACTTATTTTTTACTACTCGAAACAGCGTTACATCACACAAACCTCGTACCTGAGTGTTTTATAGTCTCAATAACTTCACTAGGAAAAAATCTAAAATACTTAAATATTACGACAAAACCCCGATTTCATTATTATTTTTATGCGATCGACATGACCGCGGCGTGAACTGTTTATTGATAATTTCTGATTTCTGCCGCAGAGTGCGCTGCGGTCAGAATTTGTTGAAATCAACTGAAATGCACCAAGCCTGGTCGGAACGCAAAAGTTATCGTTTGCTAAAGGATTTTCTCGATAATAATAATGAAACATCTTTATTGTACTAAAAAAAAGAAGATAGTACAGTCTGACAAACGGATCTGAAACAACGGGGCAACGACAAGGGGATCGCAATTTTCTAAAATCATGACCGATTTCATTCATAAAATATCCACAAGCGTGCGGGGTTTCATAAAAATATATCAGGAATTTTTATAATATTTTCCAGTAAAGTTTATAATATTATTTTACTTTAAATGTACCTGCATTTTGTTTAGTCATTTACCAAATATAGTAATATTTGTTAAAACGTGTGTACTAATTACAATAAACACAAATCAAGTTAAAGATATAAAACACAATACAATAACACAGCCACTGGATTTTTCAATAGTAGTGACTGTTTCTACTATTCCTAGAGAGGGGCATAAAGTTGGGGGTAATGGCAACAAGACGTGCGAGAATCTCGACCAATCAGACTGGTTGAATCCGGGATGCCATGATGAATTTTGTCAGCGTTGCCAGCTTACCCTAAGCGGACGTTATCTTAAGGAAATACTTTACCTTTTATAATAGGCAGAATGAACAAAATCAGTTAATTAGATAAATATACATTATTACAATAAGAACTACGTCAACAGATTAACATATATATAATTATGTATGCTGAAATGAACTAAAATATATTCAATTTATAGGTAATATCAAGCAAGTTTGCTCTACTAGAATTAAACGTGACAACATCGACTTTTTTTGCCCGAATTCTTTCCGCTGTTTTAGATTCGTTTGTCAGATAATAACAATATCGGCGCTGTTTAGCTAATAGCGTGATGGAACGCATTTTCTCTACTGAGCATAAGCGTTACTGTACCAAGAATGGGTCTCTGCTATGTTGGAACAAACTTATCCGTTATTTTCTCAAAATGTATTATTGTTTTTTAAAGTTGCGTACTTTGGGGATAAAACAAAAACATTTTAAAATAATTTGTATCATTCAGCGATACACAGGGTGGCGCACCTCATTCGCCTCGGTTGATTATACGTAAACTGAAAGATGTAGAACCAAAATATTTTATGGGTATATGTGGGGAGGCAATGTGCACAATTTAAAATTATAAATTGTACAGGGCGTTTTAGAACTAAGATCCATACCAAAGTTATATGTTTTCTTATGGAACACCCGGTATTTTATTTAATTTTTGGATTCTTGGGCCCAAAAAAAGGCATTTATTATAAGGGTTAAATATGTAAAAACTTTGGTTTTTGGGATATCTAAAGATATAGTATGCATGCTCCAATAGAATAGATTATCAACACCCTGTACATTACTTTTCAAACTTAATTCTTGTGGTGAGTTTAAAGGTAAAAAAACTAAAAAAAATAAAGGTATAGAAAGAAACTTTGCTGAAAAAACTAAACGTTTTACTGAAAAATTTTATTGCTTCCTTAAATTTATACAGAGGTACCAAAAATTACTAATCTATTTTAAATATTTATTTTACATAAAAACTTCGTTATTTCAAATGCAACACCCTATATTTTTTAAAATAAATCAAAGCAGATTCTAATGCTCATTCAAACTATATTAGGGTAAATAAAAATAAAGCTTATAAGCATATATTTAATCCGTATAGTAAATGCCTTATTTTGTGTCCAAGAATCCAAAAATGAAATAAAATACCGGGTGTTCATAATTACAAGATTTTCTAATGGCAAATGGAAATAAAAGACAATTTCTTTACATTAAACACAAAAATATATTCGGTACATGACATTCCACACAGTAAACTGTTGAATTTTTAAATCTAAATTACCAGTAAAATAAGTTTAAACTTAAAAGAGTATTTAAAGTAATTTTGTATATCTAATTTGCTATTAAAATTATAAGAAAATAAGATTTAATTTCGGCTTTCGACGTCAATTTTGATGATCTACAAAATTTATTTAATATTAAAGTCTTGGTAATTATTGGAAAAACTGGAAATCGTCCGATTTGCACATAAATTGGTATAAACCGTATTTTGAAGTCGTAGATTACGAATCTAAACTTGTTTTTCTGGCGGTCTCTTACCGTTTTTCAGAAAAATGAAAATCTATTTCAACATTTGTCTCTCTCATTGCATAGGAGAGAGAAAGAAGGATATATGAAATGTCAAACTTCCATCTGGTCTCAATTTTTTTGTTATTTTGTTAAGAAAAGTGTTTTTCAGTAAAATTTTGGACATTTTTCTATCCTCAATGAATTCGTTTTTAGATAAACTATAATATAATGAAAATATATAGTGAAATTATTACTTTATAGGGCTGAAATAAAGAAAAATTTAATGTTGAACTTATTTTCCGTTTTTCTGAAAAACGGTAAGAGACCGCCAGGAAAAAATTCAGATTCGTAATATTCGACCTCAAAATAGGGTGGATACCAATTTTGGTGAAAATCGGACGATTTCCAGTTTTTTTCAATAATTACCCAGGTATTATGTCTACGCCTACCTTGACGTCGTTTTTCAATTGAATTCCCGATATTTCAACGAAAAATAAGTCTTGTTACGATTCGCTGTCGCTACTGCCGGCTTGTGAAGTGCTCGCCGCACTAGCGCTGACCTTCATTTTATGCTTGCAAGCTACTATGTAACGCTGGGCCACCGTACACGGCGGACTGTAGCCCTCTGGATAACTGGGATCTTCAAATAATACTTCGTATCCATCAGTGTGAGTAGCTGGAGGCTTGTTGACGATCGCTTGATAGAAACAGGTAGTCTGAGGAAACAGTGCCAACACTACAAAATAAATGCAATTTAAACCGACACCGTTTGGTGTTACAACAAAAAATTATATGTTATATTATCAACAAATAATTAAAAGTAAATTGATATATAAAATTCGAGCGTATTCATAGTATTCATACATATGTGCAAACAAAATGTTTCTATAAAATATTTTGAATAAAAAGATTAAGGAGGAATATAAAGGTTGATTCTCACTATACCTTCCATTTCCATTCCATATCGATTCAATATCCGTTCCGTATTTTTTATTATATTGACGCTATACGTAAGCTTCCGTTCCGTATCAGTTCCATACTTTTTATTGTACAATTTATATCATTATGAAAGTTTTATTTTAAAAATTTGTATCTTTTAAAAAAGGTAATAGATTTAATTAAGAGCTGAAAGAATAAATAAATATCAGCAAAATGTTAACAGAGTTGGTACAAATGTAAGAACTTGATTTGGTTTGGAAATTTACATTAGGTTAGTGTTACACATAAAAAAAATTGTTTTTATTTTTTCCTACTACATTTTCCTGAGTTTTTACGGATTTTCAGCAAGTTTTTGAGAATAGAAAAAAATTAAGATGTGATGGCGTAATTCTGATAGCAGATTCGTGCTCAGTGTCGAAAAATACACCAGTTTTTTTGTGTGGCTGTGTAATCAAAGGCCAAAATTACATTTATCGCAAATTTTGAAGTATAGTTAGTGGAAAAAGTGGAAAAGTTAAAAGTTTGATAACTCTTTCTACTAAAATTGAAAATATCTCCCACTAATTTTAACGTTCTGAATGCTTATATTTGAATTAAATGAACAAACTTCTACGCTAATTGAAACCGCTAATTTATTCCTCTAATTGCGAGGTTCTGAATGAAGCTTTAGAATTAACTAATTATTGTAATTGCAAAACACTTTCCGATGCATGTCATCAATCATATCGATATTGACACTAATATACCGAGCAGCTCTTCATTTTACTTTATAGAGCAAATGATTGTAACAGATATTTTATTTAGATTAAAGCTGCAAAAATTAGTTTAAACCGAATTTTATTATCGCTATATTAATTACATCCGTTTTCAACAAGGTTGTCGTTTATTATTTGACAATTATCCGAATGTTAGTCATTATTTTGTATAATATCGTGTTGTTGAATCTTTGTGAATAATTCTCGTTTTTTACCTATTTTCATAGTCTTTTTTAAAAATTGTACTTTCAAGCACAAACAGTTCTTTTAAGAAATAAATTTTCGAATTTTAGTATTGCATTTCTTGGAATTGTGTGTTGAAAATATGACAAAGCATTTAAACAGTCGAAGCAGAGAGCTTGTAGCTTCCCTGGTTACTATTTTGACTGCAGACACCACATTACACCACTTTCAAAGTTATTTCTACGTTAGTTTTTGTTAAATTCTGTGATTATTAGTTTGTGCATTAATAGTCACCGTCTTACTTGTTATTACCACTTAGGGCGTTGTAAGATGTACATGAATAAATTAATAAATAACCCATAATAAAGCTTAGAATAATCTTCATAATGGACTATTTTTTGCCAATATGTGATAAGTAAAATAAGCTACAAAACAAAAAAATCAATTACTTACTAAAATATTAGTTATTAAATTAAAAATAAAACGTAAAAATCTTTAAAAAATGCTATAATAAATATATTGTTTGTCACTTTTAAATTAAGATTAATCTCATAAATCCATCACAATCTGGCAGCGCTGTCGCCATCGCTGGTCACTCACACAAGTTGATCATGTGCATCGGAAAATTCTTTTGAGATTACTATGTATTAGAGATGGGCAAAACTGCGAATCGCCAATCGCAATTAAAACTTGGTTGTGATTTTTAAATCGAAGCGACTATAACCTGCGATTGCGATATTAATATTCACCAAACCAAATTATTCGTAAAAAAATGTTTTTTTTCTAAATATGCCAATGAGCCACACACGTTCTATTTGAAAAATTGTGATATGATTAAAAATAAGATTTGGGCATTTTTTAACTGACCAGAACATGACACGAAAAACAATAGATGATCAAATCTATTTTTCCAAGGCACCTTGATTAAAAATTAGTGTTTTTAACACAGCCATGATATTCTTGACTGACATTTAAAATACGATTTTTTTAAGTGAAAATGTTAAAAGTTGACAAATAATATGTCATTCTATTCAGAGTGTCATTTTCTATCGAAAAATGTTCAAAAAAATACCGAGGGTGCCATTTAAAAATCAAAAGTTATTAGTAGTAATTTCCGGTGAAACAGGAAGTGCCCAAAGTAATTGAATGCGTCAATGAATCCTAATTTATGTCATATATTAACATACCAAATCTCGTTTTTTTGTGAGGGACAATAAAAAAGTTATAGGGGCGAACCACTCTTGAGAAACACCCGGTATATTATGATCGTGGCCCTAGAAAAGTAATACCTTCTCAAAATAAATAATATCAGACAAAAAAATCAATCGCAGTTTACTATAAAATGCTTTAATAGATCACAAAATTACATTCGCAACAATATTGCAAATCGCAACTCCTAAAAATTCGCAGATCGCAGATAGAAATCACGGTCCCAGTTTACACAATCACAATCGCAGCTATAGTAATACTGGTTGCCTAAATTAAAACTCGGAAATAGCAGAAATCGTAATCGCAGTTTCCTATGAGAGCCAATCGCTATCTGCGATTGTGATTTTAAAATCGTTGCGATTGAATCGCAGTCTGTGATTTTTTGCTCATCTCTACTATGTATGTATATTTTTTCTTGCATTTTTGCTTTCATTTACTACTTGCAAAATATTAGATGCTATGATTAGATGTTAAAGAATTTAAATACGTTACTTTGAATTGCCTGCTTCGGTAGAAGGTTCTAATAAAGTTCTATGTTTATTAGAATTATATATTTTTATAACAATTTTAATAACTACCAACAACGTAAAATAAAACAACAACAAACAACGTAAAATAAAACAACAAATTATTGAGTCTATCCTACATCATATTTTTAGGCTTTGAATAAAATTGGTACGGCACTGATAAACCGGAATTTAAGTCGGCCATTTTTGGTCCACATCCCGCTCGACTTAAGTTTTTTGATATGCTCCTTCCTAAATCTTTTTATGCAAAGATGAAATTAAATACAGCAAACAAGTAACTGATGACCGCGATATTCTGCGATTTTACCCCCTTCCCTCTTGTTACTATAATTAATGCAGTTAATCCATCTATAACGATCTCGCTTATAGTGGAAACTCGTCGAAGTCCCAGAAAAACACATGCAAAATGCTCTGACAAAATCCACTGCATCTTATCCAAATATTTTACAAACGTAACTAGAAATTTCTGGCTCCCCCGCAACTTTCAGCCATATAATAAACGAATCATTTCATTCAAACTCTCTATAATCTCTTTGAACAATCACGAAGCAGTCAATTTCAAAGGGTCCCTCAGCGACCGCGTTTGTAAGCGAAGATGTAGCTAAGGCACTGACAAGATGTACTCGCTTATAATGGAACCTTGCTTGTAGTGGACCGTTAGTGGACCACAGTAGTGCACTAAAATACCTAAAGGCGAATTATTTGGGGTATTCCCACAAAACCATATACAGGGTGAGTTTTCTACGATGTTCTCAATAGGTATCTCGGAAACTACTGGAGATAGAGAGTCGGTTAAATATGGAAAGAATTGTAGTTTTCTAGGGCCATAAAAATGCGCCTTTCAGATTTTTGAAAAAGTTCATGGCTTACTAGATATTAAAAAAAACAAATTTCGACTATTTTAGAAAAGTTGTAGATAATCACATCCTTAATGAGATTGTGTTCTCCGTTTTTTTCTAAAGCCTGCCATTTTTGACATATGACACAAACATATGTTTTTTTTTTAAATGGAAACCATAGTTGGCCATGACTTCATAAAAAGCGCCATTTTTAAGCTTTTCAGCGATATATAGCTGTAATATATTTTTTTTGAAAACTTACCGAGTTATAGCCAATTTGTATCATTTTTAAACAATTTACTTAGGTAGCCATAGAAACAAGTTCGATCGTCATTGCTCTCAAAAATGTCAAACTGTCACATGCAAATTTTGTAAGTTAAAATAAACAAAAATTGTAAATATGCATGTTAGAAAAGTTAAATTTAGAGGCTCGCGCATCAATAGAGTGACTTTCATTATGTCATAATGAAAGAAATGTTAAAAATTATTTATATCATAATTATGCAAACTTATGGATAGGAAGAGGTGGACCAATTGCATGGCCCTCCTCGATCACCTGACCTATCAATTTTAATTTTTTTATGCGGTATGGTTAACAAGTTTTACAAAAGAACTTATGAATTAAGAGAGGCACTGGAAGAGGCGGTACGGAAGTTTAATAAAGTCGACCGGTCGTTCTGTGAGAAAAGCAAGTAGGTAATTCAGTTTTAAAAAGGTGCATTTATGTACTCAAAACAATGGCGGATTTTTTGAACATTTTTTAAAATAACTTAAAATGTATGTAGTGATATTATTTTTTTAAGTTTTAGTTTGTGTAATGGAAATTGTAAAGAACCGTTTAATAAAATATTCTGTCTTTTTATAAGTTATTAATCTTAACAGAATAAGAATACCATACCTACTAAGTGAAATTAGTCAAGAAAGCTATTAATTGGCTATAACTCAGTAATTTTCCGAAAAAAAATATGTTATAGCATCGCTGAAAAGCTTAAAACATTTCGCTTTTTATGAAGTCATGGTCAACTATGGTTTCCATTAAAAAAACATATGTTTGTTTTGTGTCATATAAAAAAATTACAGGCTTTAGAAAAAAACGGAGAACACAAACTCATTAAGGGTGCATCACCATCCACACCATCCTAGAAAAAGCGCAACGGCGCGGCGTATCGTCGTAATAACCTTATATCAATTTCCAGCAATCCTACTGGCTGAAAATTTTCGAAAATTCATCTGTCCTTATTTTATTTATTTAATTTAAGCAGATAATTTTGCTTTCCGTCGTGTTTTAATAAACTGCACCGAAAATGTTACCAATCACAATTGAGCGTCCGGATTACTTGCACAACGACCTTAGCGCGTGGCCGCGGGCAGCCCAGTGGGCAAGCGAGACAGCGACGCGACGCGTTGCTGAGTGCCGATTTAACAAAATAAATAATTTTAAAACTGCCGTCATTTCGTTAATAATAATTAATAATTATCATATCGTGCTGATATTTACATAGGAATACTTATGAGTTTTTAGCGCTTCCGCCAAGCCTAAATAACTGGATTACGTTTTATATTTTCGATTTGTTTACATTGCCCGAGCATATTATAACTTTGGGATAAAAATATCTGTTATAAATTTTAAAACTGACAAATATGAATACTATAATTTAATTACATATACATTTAGTTACAACATATTCAAAATTTAGGTCTATCGGTTTATTCTAGCAGTAATAACGAGTATAAATAAAAAAATGGTCAGTACAACCACAGGTACAACGCTCGCCGTTTTTAGCGCACGTTCAGCTTTGGTTTTAGTTTTAGTGTTTTTTTTTTTACAGAAAATAAATTCTGACCTTTGATCAAATGACAAGAACATTATCATTGCCGATATCTCCTGGTTATAGTTAGGTTAGGTTAGGTTGCAGAAAATTTTTGCCACAGCTTGTTTACTACCAGTAGTATTTGTGCGTTTTTTTAATTCTTCCATTTATCCGGATTTCTACTATGCTTTCGACCTTTCTTAACGTACATAGCATCTCTTTATTAACGCAGCGCCAGTAGCTGTCGCAAAAAAAAGCCGCATAATTCAAGTTTTTTTTTAAGCTAAAACAATGCAATATTTTGAAAAAAGAACTACATTATAACCAGGAGATGTCGGCAATGATAATGTTCTTGTCATTTGATCAAAGTTCAGAATTTATTTTCTGTAAAAACAGCGCTAAAACTAAAACTAAAGCTGAACGTGCGCTAAATACGGCGAGCGTTATATATACTGACCATTTTTTTATTTATACTCGTTATTACTGCTAGCATAAATAGTGATGTTCAGGTCGGAACGTGCCTCAGGGAACGTTCCTCTAAGGTCGGGAAAGTGACTGAAATTCGGGAAAGTTGTATTTTGATGCGAGTTGTAATATTCCTCGGAACATTCCCCACTTTTCGGGAACTTTTCTTAAATTTAGGGAAAGTAATCAAAACATTGGAAAAGTTGTGAACAGGTCACGCCACAAATTAAAAGAAGAAGAGAAACTAGGTTATAAACGACTTCCGTTCGGTCTGTCGTCGAGGCAGCATCGTATGATGTCTGATGGCTGATTGTTCGGGAGTCCAAGTTGTTATTCTGAAGATACAATTGCAATCGTTTTATAAAAGTCTATTATTTTTTGGTGCAAAAGTGTTAAATTGAGTTCGTGTCTCATTCAGATACATATTTTTGTGAAATACATTTAAAGAAAATCTTTTTTCACGTTGTCACGGGGGTAACCAGGCCCTATGTAGCCGGATGCTACCAGCGTGGGAGAAGAGAAGGTCAGATTGATAATATTTTTAAAGACAACCTTTTTTCACGTTGTCAGGGGGGTAACCAGGCCCTATGTAGCCGGACGCTACCAGCGTGGGAGAAGCTTTCGGATTGATATAAGAATTTTTTTGTTAAATTGAAAAACTATACAAATATTCAAGAGAAACGACTTTGAGTCGGACGCTTTTACGAGCTTCTCTTGTCTTAGATTGAAGAAGAAAAAAGGATAGATATTCTATCCATATTCTATCACCCGGCCGGATAGTCCTGGAGCTGTGGCCGTAAAACTAAATTGAAGAACTGAAATTGAGGTTATAAACATAACCTAAATTTGCTTCTTTTATCGACTTGTGTTACTTCTCTTGTTATTTATATATTATTGTGTTGTTATTAAATAGATTTTGAAAGTTAACTTTATCACTTTTCTGTTTTGGGGAATATTTCCGGGAACCTTCCCGGAAAGTTTCCAATTTTTCATAACATTAAATTTTTTTTCCATTCCCATCACTATCCCGATTTGGGGAACGTTCCCAGGAACATTCCCTCAAAATAAGATTCCCGGAATGTCCCCATCTCTAAGCATAAACCGATAGACCTAAATTTTGAATATGTTGTAACTAAATGTATAAGTAATTAAATTATAGTATTCATATCTGTCAGTTTTAAATTTTAGAACAGAGATTTTTATCTCAAAGTTATAATATGCTCGGGCAATGTAAACAAAGCGAAAATATAAATAATAATCCAGTTCCAGTTATTTAGGCTTGTCGGAAGCGCTAAAGACTCATGTGTATTGCTATGCAAAAATCAGCACTATACGATAATTATTAACGAAATGACGGCAGTTTTAAAATTGTTTATTTTGTTAAATCGGCGCGCAGCAACGCGTCTCTGTGTCGCTTGCCTACTGGGCTGCCCGCCGCCACGCGCTAAGGTCGTTGTGCAATTCAGACGCTCAATTATTGATATTTTTAATGCATTGAGCAATAATTTTACACACAAAAACTAGCGTGAAATAGCCAATAACCAAAATTTTACGTTGAATAAATGATTTGATTGTTTTGAATTACCAAATTGAAACTGGCCGCCTATGTTAAAAAGTTAAATAATGATTTTTTACCTTATTTATGAAAAGAAGTTTACATATATAGTCTAGTATGTTCTATTTTTAGAAAGCTCATAACAAGGTAAGTAAAATCAAAATATAATATAAAATATTTTGCTACCGAGTCAGTAAAATGTACAGACTTTTCAATCTCTATTCCTTTATCATGTGTATTGATTTCACCTCTACCCCTACAAAGGTTTTTGAACATACATATGGTAAATAAAAAATTCCAATATTATCAATCCTTTTCAAAAACGGTTTATAGAGAAAAAAATTAAGTTTGGCTCATAGATAAATGAAAAATAGCCAATTTCAAAAACAAGAAATTATGGTATGATGCTCATTTTAGAATTGAAATTTCTTGGTATACATAGATAAAAATGATTTTAAATCATGCTTTACATTGGAAATGAACACTTAATAATGTTCCAATAACATTTCCTGCATATTTATAAAAAATGTACCTATACATTATGAAATAAAATACCTAATTTGCCTTGAGGAAAAAGTGCTTCAGGATTAATTTCTGGATTGGCTCTCATAAGAGGAAGTGGGATCACTCTGCTTTTACTCAAGGTATGCCTCCCTTTTTGGTTCTGCTCTCGTAAAATATCATCTACCTCATACTTGGCTGTGTTAGGATTGTAACTAACCACTTCAGCCAAAATCCAGTTCTCTTTCTCTACTAGTTTTGCAAAAGCAACTACTGTATCGCCCACCTAAGAAGAATATTAATAATGCATACTCCGTGCATTATATGAAATGAAATAAAAAATACTTTTGCAATATAATTTCTCTCAGCAGGCACTGCTCCACAAAGTGGTGGGGCTTTTTCCCCTACTTTTCCAATAAAAAGTGGAAGTGTCTGTGCAGAACTTAACAGCATTTTCATCCAAGTTCCTCTGCGAATAGATTCTTTCTTAGCAGCTGAAGTACGAGCCTAAAAAATTATAAAAATATAAACATTTAGTTGTAAAGAAACCCTGGAACTTACCTGAATTCGCCTTTCATTTATAATATTCCGAATCTCATAAATCTTTTGTAATGCTTTCTGGATAACTTCTCTTTCAGCATCAGTTTGAGCCATAACATTCTTAATAAGGCTTCTGGACTTCTGTTAAATAAACAAAGGAAAAAATAACATCCATCCCATAATTAAAGTAAAGTCAAAGTAGATACCTGTGTATTTGGGCCCTTATCCTCAATGCTATTTCTTTGTAAAGTATTAAGACCTTGCTCACATTGAGCCCTTTTCTTTTCAATGTCATGAATAAGGCTGTAAAGAGACTCTAGTCTTTCTTGTACCTGCTGAACTGCTACCGAGTCAGCTGTAAATGGCATGTTTCCTTAGCTTTTCTTGTTATTATATTTAAGATATTTGTTTAAACTAACTACAGAAAACCAGGCAACCAAAACCAAGAGGAAGAGGGCCTAAAAAGAATGATTTTAGGATTAAATAGATATAACACATATACGTTTTTGATAAATAAAACTTACTAAATTAGTAAGAATTCTTGGAGATATGGTTAGGGTAATTGAATTATAAAACATTACATATAAAAACAAAAATTAATGGATGATTGACTCTATGGAATGAATCAACAAAGTTATTATTTACAGATTAATTTTATAAAGTTATCAACAATTTGTCAACAATCAACAAATATAACCAAATAATGCAATCTGTCATCTGTCACCACTGTCACTTGCTCTGTCACGTGGACACATCTCGCCATAGAATAATTCTATTCTCACCCATTGAATAATTATTTCTTACACTAGGGGTACAGCCAGAGATATGGAAGTGGGAGAATGAGCTTCGACGAGTGCGCATCCAAATTTTTGTCGACGGCAAGATGGCAGACATCTTCCAGGTCTCGCTGTCACTTCCCCTCTTTAATTGACATCTGTTTGTTTTGTTTTTTTTTTTCGTTTGTGTTGTTATCTAGTTAAAATTTATTATTATCTCAATTATTCTAAACACTAATTCAAAAAGGCTTGTTGTATATTGTCATAGTCATTCTAAGAAAGCTAATACGCCGGGAAAAATGATTAGTTTTCATGTGTAAGTTTATACAACATAATCGTGTTTACAGATGATCCAAAACTGTTTATTTTTAGTTTTCCTAAAGGCGATTTGTAAAAGTCGTGATTGTAATTGGGAATGGTCAAAATAAGTGTATGATATGGCCATTTAAGGAGGATGTTTTTATTACGTGTGGAGGAAGAAGATAGGTACTTGGAATCAATGTTCGTGCTTCTGTAAAACAGTGCACTCTTATAGTGTCCATGAAAGCACAAGTTCAAGTGTACCAGAAATATGTCAAATAAGATTGGTCCTTACTTGACAAGAAGATTATTTGGAGGAAAAGAAAACATAAGATAGGGTATTTTAATCGAACAGCGAAAATTTAACATTTTTATTGTAAAGTTTGTTGTAGGTAGTTGTAGTTTTGTGCTAAATATTTCTAACATTAGCAGCAGCAGTGTTCAGAGTGTCAAGAGGAGGAGAATTCAGTTAATTAGAGTTATGCACAGTTACAGGTATGAAGGTTTTTTCAAACATAGTATCAAGTTCTATAGTCAACATTTTTAGTATTCCTACAACTGTAAAAACAAGGAACATTGGACTGAAAAAATGGCAAGATTTATATAGGAAGAAAGGGTATTATGCCAATAAGAAAATTAAATCTGTAGGCAGAAGTTTCTTATTTAAAAACTGTTATGGGGCATATATTAATTTGTATCTGTGCCACAAATCACTGAGAAAAATCATATTATATTCATAATTGTTAACGAGATGATATTTAAAGAGTGTTAAAATGAAACTATTAGTCATGAAGCTTACAATGTTACTTTGTTTCAATATTACACTTTTATTCTTGTAAAATCTATGATGAAGTTCGAAAGCATTTTGCAATGGCCTTAAATTGTGAGCCAGGATTTATAGCAAAGGTATTTGATGCAATGAAACTTAATCGGTACCTTCCAGTATGTATTTTAGTAAGGCGATTGTCAATCCCATGTTTTTAAATAGATAAAATACAGGCCAAAGTTGACAATATTACAGTTGAGAAGAAACTATTTTATCTTAAAAAAATTTCTTAAAATTCTGAGATCATATAATCTAATTTTCTTAATAATAAATTAGGTATATGTATGTTGTACATACAGAATTTTGTTATGGACAAATAAGGATCGACAAGCTTCTTTTTGTGCAAAAAAATAAATGATTTTTTCTAGTATTACGACAAACCATAATGTGTTTTACAAACTTACCGGTAACAGTTTTTTTTTATAATAAAATATTTAGGAATAATTTGGGTTGTTTATCAATATATTAATGACTTGAATTTTGACACATTGAATTTGTATCAAAATAATTTTACGAAATATAAAATTGATGTTCTATTACAAGATTGAGTTTTTATTGTCGACAAAAACCAGGATAAATACTAATAATAATACCCTTAATAAAATCAATGATGTTTATGTATTATGAAAATATTTGTTACAGGACATGTTATGTAACAGTTTTTGAAACTTGAAAAGAAACTATTTTATCTTAAAAAAAAATTTCTTAAAATTCTGAGATCATATAATCTAATTTTCTTAATAATAAATTAGGTATATGTATGTTGTACATACAGAATTTTGTTATGGACAAATAAGGATCGACAAGCTTCTTTTGTGCAAAAAATAAATGATTTTTTCTAGTATTACGACAAACCATAATGTGTTTTACAAACTTACCGGTAACAGTTTTTTTATAATAAAATATTTAGGAATAATTTGGGTTGTTTATCAATATATTAATGACTTGAATTTTGACAAATTGAATTTGTATCAAAATAATTTTACGAAATATAAAATGGATGTTCTATTACAAGATTGAGTTTTTATTGTCGACAAAAACCAGGATAAATACTAATAATAATACCCTTAATAAAATCAATGATGTTTATGTATTATGAAAATATTTGTTAGAGGACATGTTATGTAACAGTTTTTGTAACACAATTTGAAGGGACGAATAAAAAAATAAAACAAAAACATATTTTTTCTAGGTTTATATTAAAAATATAAGGTAGGTAATCATCAAAAATAATTATGAACCAAATGTTTTTTATGAATATACAACTTGAACAAAAAGTTGTTTAGAACAATTTTTACCAAATTTGCAAAAATTTTAAATTGAAACGCGTAATTCAGTACAAGTAAACATGAAATATTGTAAGTACTTATTTAATATTATTTCTAGTGTTTAACGACGAAAAGGTCATCTGTCCGTAGCGTCTTTTGTCCGAATATTCGTATATTTAGTGTATTATATACCAATATTGTACGCAGTTTTGAAACTGATAATTAAATAAATCATATTAATGTTAACTAACCATAATAAATGATAGAATTTCACTAAATTTAAATTGCCCCCCGTATGGTTGAAAACAGCAAATTGATATTTGATTACTTATAGATTACCACCTATATACAAAATGACACGAAGACCTGGAATATGGCGCCCAACTTGATTAGACCTTTTGCGCATGTTGACGCTCATTCTCTATCCCTTCTATTTCTCTGGGTACAGCCGAGGGTCCCACAAAGTAATAAAAAACAGGAAAAGGCAAATAAAAGACCTTTGTAAAAACTAGATTTTTACATCTAAAATACCTAGTTTTAGGTAAAAGTGTGGATCCGGTGGCTGACCTTGAAGCCCATATTTGCTGCATTTGATCATCGATACTACGCAAGCGCACATCGTCGATGTTGCCAAGTTGCAGTTTATTTTCGAATTATTTGCAGTTGAAATTTTTTTTTTGACTGTTAATCAATAATAATACAAATTCTATAATTAATTTTATAATTGCAGATTTATCTTGATATCCAAAATTAACGAATGATATATAAAATTGAATATATAAAATTGTAATAATAATAACATTTATTTATATATTTACATTAGAATTTAGAATTAAAAATTATCATTTACGGATATTTTCTTTATGGTTTTAAACTTATTAGAATTATTTTATTTCTTTCAAGTTATTTAATTTCTAGTTATTTACAGGCAACAATAGTTTTGATTATATGTATTGATGTATTGAAGTACTACCATGACGAAGTCTTCTAGAACAATACACGTCAATGGGAGATAGAGGCAAGATAGAGGTAATATTTTACCATGGTATAGTCTGTGAAACGAATAACTTTGAATTTGACAGTTCCCGCGGGCTTTTCTAGTGTTAATTTTATTAGGTTAGCAACTTGCTGCCATGCTGACGCAATGCCGTCACTAATAGAACAGCCTCGGAACGAGATTTATGACGTCACGCTAGTTAGAATAAATAAATATATATCGTAGGCGTACAGCGAAAATCCACTAAGTCACATTTTTGGTTGAATTGGATTAAACACACCACTATGTCCAGTTTTTCACGGTCTTTAACATGAAAAACCCATTAAGTCCAATTTCGGCATCCTTATATTATATTATAAGGATTTTTGGATTATATTCGACACTATTTTTTTCATATGACACAACACTGATGAAGGCTATAATGTTAGCCGAAACGTTTTTTTTAAACAAAAAATGAAAAACCAAATGAAAACTTAATCAGCGTTTTTCCCGAACCTAAATCCCAAGAAAATCAAAAATTTTAGAACAGTTTTACATATAAAATGACAGCGATTTTTATTTCATAGCCATCGCTGACGCCTTTTTTTCTATGATATTGTATTGTTTGCAAATATAATTTTTCGAACATTGATACTTGCAAAATATGCATAAAAATTTTGTGAATGTAAATTAATACAGCACTATTAGTAGATATTGAATGTTTTTTGTTAAATTAGATCGATTTTCAAACCCCCAAATTTAAAGTATATTTTACATTTTACCCATTATCTTATGTATCTATTCATTATTTGTATATCGTAAAACATTTGCTGCATTTGTATGGTTCATAGTTTATTTGCCAAAGTTATTTATTACTATAAATAGGTATATATATTGTATTTATTAACTGTGTATTATGTATATTTCATGTAAACTATATCATTTTTAAAATACAAACCAAAAATACGAGGAATAATTATGTTTTCCATGTATTCTACAACATATTTATTAATCCGTAGTATCTAACTAGCGTGACGTCATAAATCTCGCTCCGAGGCTGTTCTATTATAGACGCCATTGGTCGATATTTAGAAATGTCAAAAGCTAATGACATTTTACTTTTGACAATTATGTCATTTCGTGTTGATTTTTGCGCGAAGAGGAAAAATTGTCACTTGTTTTATTATTTTCCTTTTCTATTTCACGAAAGTAAAAAGAGTTACCTATCTGATTCGTTCAGGCCAAAGTCCAGGCACTCGATTTAATGAATATCAGTAACTTTTTTGATAGAGGGATTTTATATTTGCCATGTTGGTAAAAAATAACGGTCAAAATTCAAAGTTATTCATTTTATTAGAGGTGGGCCAGTCTGCGATTTTTGTGGAGCTGCTACGCTCTGCGACTGCTCCAATAAAAGCACTGCGACAAGTAGCAGCGATTTTTCGGAGCAATTAACCTATAAATTAAAAATGTAGTTTTATAGGTTAATTGCTCCGAAAAATCGCACTCGGTGTTCGGCACCGTTCGTTGCATTTACTAAAAAAGTACAGGACTATAGGTGTGATTATGATAGGCAACATCATCGTCTAGTTTTTATTTATTTATATCGTATGATCGAAAAAACGGCGTCAGCGATAGCTATGAAATGAAGATTGCTGGCATTTTATATGTAAAATTTATGGGGAATGTTATCGATTGTCATTTCCAAGCCAACTGGACGCCGTTTTTTATTTCGATCAGTAGTGGCGATTTTAACGTCTGTGCAATCGGGGTAAGTCACCGACGGGCCCCAAGCCTCCCGGGCCCTTGCGAACAAGATTCGAACTTTTCCGAACTACGGGCCCCTAGAGCTCTTAAAATCGCGGCTGTACGGTACTATACTGATGTCTTAGTTTGATAGATGTTGCTATATTTTTTTAGTCTATTCAGAAGAATTTGAGTGTTTCTAAGTACCAAGCACTTTGCTATAAATATCTTAAAGAGTCTGTTCATTTTCACAGAGTGGTGGCCCATGGTAAAAACTTAATGTTATATTCAATTCAAAGTCGAAACTGTCAAAAAAATCTTTATTAGTGACCGGTTTCGGCTATTTAGCCATCATCAGACCTTAAAAATAGATATAAATAATAAAACTTATATGAATGTATAAGATCAAATAAAAGATTTAGGATATACAACAAAACACAGATACAAAATTAACTAACAAATAAACATACTAACAAGTTAAAAATTACCTTTGTCAAAAACATCTGTTTGTGATTAATATATAATACATAAATATCTTATTTAGATTCATGAAAGAAAAAGCGAACGCTGCTACGTTTCCCGTTCCCAAACTCCCAACAGCTCCAGTACACAGAATATACTCAATATACTATGCTCCAGTCGACTGCGACCTGCGACGACTGTGACTGGAACAGTCTGACCGGGCGACGGGGCTAGGAGCATTTTCAGAATTTACACTATTGCCTGCTATTGCTCCTATTGCTACTCACGAGCGCAGATGTCCTAAACTTGTAAACTGCTCCGAAATGTCACTGCGATTTTCTTGGAACTGGAGCAGTCACATACTGCGACGTTGGTGGAGCTGTGACAAAGTAGCGGATTGCGATTTCACAACCCACCTCTACATTTTATAGACTATACAAAGAATACAAGGTATGATCGATAGCGGCTCCAATTTCGTTCAGTTCGCGCCATGTTCGCGCATACCACCTGTGACGTCACTAGGAAAATAATGAATAAATAAAAAATAAAGAAAGTTGACAGGAGATCTGCATTTTTTGGGGTTATGGCATAGATAAATGCAACAAGTTTAGATTGGAAAGCCAGTATAAATTTTGGATCGCGAAATTATTTTGGGTCGCGACCGTTATACGCGATCTGGCGCTGCTATAGCGGTCGCTAAGAACAACGGCAAACAAAAACAGAAATAATTTTCTCTTGTCAAAGTCAGAATCTTCAAAAATCATAATAATCTTTCAAAATCTAAACCGCTCTCATTAAAGAAATCCCGAAAAGTGTTTATAGCATCCATTTTCAAAGTAAGTATTGCTATCTTGTGAGTTTAATTCAAGTTTTATTTACTCCAACCGGTGATAATTGTGAAAAAGTGGCATTAAAAACTTAAAAAGCTGTGCTGTGAACGGTGAACTGCAAAAACCATCGTGGATCGTGGCATAACGTCGGTTTCCAATGTTTCATAGGTATTTCATACATGTCCTTATATAAAATAAAGTTTCTTGTATGCAACACACTGTATTTTATTTATAAAATTAAACGAAAATAATAATAAATTGGAATAAACAATATTTGGCGATATAATTCCGGAAAAAGCCGAACCGCTCCGAAATTTTCAAAAGTTTTGGGTCGCGACCGTCGCAAGAATAGCGCCAAATAGTGTTTACATTGTCCTTATGGGCACTTTCCAATCTAAACTTGTTTCATTTATCTATGGGTTATGGTTAAGAATTGTTTATTTTTCAGTTCCAAAAATATATTTAAAAATAATTATCTATTAACATGGATTTGGACGATAATAATAGGTAAGAATACTAAATTTATATCTATATTTGGTATAAAATTGTTTATTAGGTTTTTAGTTTGCGATGTTTATGGTAAATAATTTTCATGTTCATTGCCTCTGAATTCACATGAGGACAGAGATGAGGATTATCTATGGAAAAGTAACCACAAGAGGAATTGTTACATCATTTAAAAAATGTTGGGATGTTGAAGTTTCCCATCGAAAAGTAGAAAATGCCAATGCAGATGAATGTATTGTAATTGTGATAGAAGTAATTCCAAGGGTGAAGTCTATTATAATTAGTGACCTGTGCTTCTTTTTATATGTAGATGTTTCAGGTTTTGAGAATAAATCGGTTGAACGAAACCCAAAATTTAGAGGAAGTATTTGCATACCCAGAATATGACCATCAAGGATTATATAGCTCAAATTTCCTTTAATGGTAGGCAATTATTCAATGCAAATTAACTTTTTAAGTGACTGAAATATTAAATAGTTTACAATATGGTATATCACTAAAAATATATTACTTTTAGGTACAATTAGTGCCCGATACATTTCAAAAAGTAGAATATTATTTTATATTAAATGAGGTGTTGTACCAACAATCAATTTATATTAATACCGGAGATTAAAAAATAACAGAATAAATAGTTCTTTTTTTTATACTACAAAAATAAACTATAGAATACAACAGTATTTAAAAAATAAATAAAAAGTTATGTCCCGGCCGAGATTCGAACTCAGGTCTCTCGCTTCCTAGCCCGACTCCTTACGCACTGCTCCACAGTAACTTGCTTAGCGATAATTCAATGACGGTATATAAACAAAAAAACAGGTTTATAACAATATCTTGACGATTTGAACTGGCGCGCGGAGAGTGCTGACCAATAGCGCCAGTTATCACCTGTGACGTAGCGACCAACCTGCGCAATATCATACCTTGTATTCTTTGTACCATGATATTTTACTGTGATTTTACCAATAATGTTACTAATATAATATACTTTGATTATAATGTTTGTATCAAAATTTCTTAAAAATGTCAAGTTAGTGGATTAATAGCAATTTTAGACATATATTTTATTGAAGAGTGTGGTGATAAGACTAAAATAAGCTTTATGTTTTATCTTTTTCTCTTTAGAAGGGAGATGGTTTGTGTCGTAGAATACATTACAGTATTTAATATCGTGTACTTTGATATTCTTTTCTTAATCTACTGTAATTTCTTGTTTCCTATAATGCCAAATCTTGACAATATGGTGAAGGTAGAGTTTTGATCTTGATAGTTTTATACCTGTGTTTATACAAGACCAAATTAAGACTTACTTAGTTTGTGATTTATATAAATATCTTTCTTATAATATTTGTTATGTCTTAATCTTAATACTATATTATGCTTTGTCTGGAAAATAAATGTTAAAATATCTTAATTTTGCATATCCTATTCCATCCTTCCATTAGGAAAAATATAGTTTATAAATCATATATGCTAAGAAAATCACATGGATGGAAATAAATAAGGAAGGATGGAATAGGATATGCAAAATTAAGATATTTCAATATTTATTTTCCAGACAAAGCATAATATAGTATTAAGATTAAGACATAACAAATATTATAAGAAAGATCTTAATATTAATCACAAACTAAGTCTTAATTTGGTCTTGTATAAACCCAGGTATAAAACTAATATCAGATCAAAACTCAACCTTCACCATATTGTCAAGATTTGGCATTATAGGAAACAAGAAATTACAGTAAATTAAGAAAAGAATATCAAAGTACACGATATTAAATACTGTAATGTATTCTACGACACAAACCATCTCCCTTCTAAAGAGAAAAAGATAAAACATAAAGCTTATTTTAGTCTTATCAACACACTCTTCAATAAAATATATGTCTAAAATTGCTATTAATCCACTAACTTGATATTTTTAAGAAATTATGTAGTATTTATGTATATTAGTAACATTATAGGTAAAATGTTACCTCTATCTCCCATTGACGTGTATTGTTCTATAAGACTCGTCATGGCACTACTTCAATACATCAATACATATAATCAAAACTATTGTTGCCTGTAAATAACTAGAAATGAAATAACTTGAAAGAAATAAAATAATTCTAATAAGTTTAAAACCATTAAGAAAAAATCCGTAAATGATAATTTTTAATTCTAAATTCTAATGTAAATATATAAATAAATGTTATTAATATTACAATTTTATATATTCATAATACTTTCATTTCACAATCTTCATTATCCTTCTTACCTTAATTTTTGATATCAAGATAAATCTGAAATTATAAAATTAATTATAGATTTTGTAAACATTTGTTTTTAACTAAAAATAATTCGAAAATAAACTGCAATTTGGCAACATTGACGATGTGCGCTTGCGTAGCATCGATGATCAAATGCAGCAAATATGGGTTCAAGGTCAGCCACCGGATCCACACCTTTACCGTATTTTGTATTGTTTGTGCTTCCATTGAAATTTTTACACAAAATAAACAAATGAACAAACATTCTTTGTTACAATTTTTTACATGTGTGTTCCGCAGGAACGTAGTAATTGCCGCAGACACACCGTCCCTGGTTTTAAATATAGATGATATTACTAGTTGCATAATCTCGAACACCAAAAAATATGACAAAGGACGCGCGCATTTCCTTTATATTCAATGGGTCGTTTCTTGACAATTGGACTACTGCAAAGGTTTAGTGCAGGTTACAGTTAAGTTTATATTTTTATAACTTTAGTTTCACACATAAGATTAACCATGTCGGAAAATAGAGAAGAGATTTTGGCAGATTTTCAAGTGAGTTACTACTGGTTTTTATCATCACTTTGGTAACTTTTTATTCACATTTTTGCAATATCAAAATCTATGCTGCTACAATGACAAACAGTATTTCTGTTTCAAGTGTATACAGTAGATTTTCCTGTGTTTATTTTTATTCGTATTTTTGTAGGCTTGCACGGGACTTGAGGATGTAGAAGAAGCAATATTCCATTTAGAAGAAACCAACTGGGATTTATTGGTAGGTTTCCTAAATATAATTTTTTTGTTGATATAAAGTCAAACATAAATAATATTTTCAGAGAGCAGTAAGTAGAGTTATGCCTCCAGATACGCAAGCGTTTCATGTTCGAAATGATCCAGATGTAATGATAGTAGAAAATGACCAAGATATACCAACTGTAGTGCCCAAACCTATGCCAATTGAAAAAGCTACTAGTGTCATGGATGTGGGTAATAACATAAGTATTCCTCCAGCTAAAAAAAGAGACTTTTCATCTTCATCAAAAGACAGCTTTTTTCCAACTGCTTCAACTTCTAAGCAGTGTGCATCCGGTTCTGCATCTACCGGTCCCAAAATGTTAACTTTCAATATTAAATATTGTGATAGGGTTATAAAAATTAGGCTACCCGATAGTGCAAATTTAAGTAAGTTTGTTTTGATTTATATAAATCAATTGAATTAATATTAATGAAATTTTAGATGATCTAAAACAAAGACTCTATAATGAAGTGAATGTAGCACCATGCAGACAGACATTATCAAGTTGGGCTAGAATGCCAAACTATGAGAAAACACCATTCACTAAACTGATGTTGCCACAGGAAAATGATCTAGTATTAACTGTTAAATCATTATCTGATGGTGTAACACCAGAAGAAGAGTAAGTAACTTCAGTGCATATATATACCGTATGATCGAAAAAAATGGCGTCCAGTTGGCTGGGAAATGACGATCGATGACATTTCCCATATAAATTTACATATAAAATGATAGCGATCTTCATTTCATAGCCAACGCTGACGCCGTTTTTTCTCGATCATACGGTAGTAATCTCTTTTAAAATATGAGTAATTCTAAGTAAAATTTTTTTGTATGGTATATTTTAGGAATGCTGTTACTGAGAAACTGAATGGCACTTATACTCTTCATGTGAAATACGAAAATAAAACGTATGACTTAAAATATCAGGGCATTAAAACTATTCTACAGGTGAAGTCAGATGTTTATACCTTAACAAACATACCAGCTAGACATCAGATTTGGAGTGGATGGCCTCCGAATATAGATGACAATACAATGCTGGCATTGTCAGGAATCAAGTAAGACATTTTAGAAATAGGTAGATACTAGTGATGGGCAAAATCGTTATTTTAAAATAACAGTTGAAACTGTTACTGTTATTTATATATAACAGCTTAAAGTAACAAGTTTTTGTTATTTTTTTACTTTAACGTTAAATATTTAAAAGAGCATACACATTTTCTTAATAATAAAAAATGATGTCCTTAAATATAAAAGTTATAAACAAATCAAACTCTGTTTTAATCTTTAGAATATGGTTATTATATTATTAATAATTAAGAAAAAAAGTATTAAAAAATATCAACAGTATTAATATAAAAAAATAGCTTATATAGATTGCCTTGAATGGGAATCCTCAACACTCAAAAAGGTTCCACAGAACTTTCAACCGAGAAAAATCAAAGATTTTCCTTGATTTAAGTAAGAACAATCTCCAGATTGTCACGGGGTTTCTAACAGGACACTGTCTCCTCAACAAACACCTCAGTAGATTGAACCTGAGAAACAACAGGGTATGCAGGTTCTGTGGGGAAACACCAGAACACCTAATCACTCAGTGCGTCGAAACGACAACCGTTTGTGCCATAAACTTTTGTATGGCTGATGTTGAAGATGGAGAGCTGGCTTCTGTGGAGCCGTCTCAGATACTGGCTTTTGTCAAAGCCCTGAAACTGTAGGATGAGTTATAAGTTACAACTCATTATAACTTTCTTTTTTTTAATTACTACATTATAACTTATAACTTTCTTTATATTATAGACTTTCTTTTTCATTATAAATCATTATAACTGAAGAAAGGGGAACACATAATAGATCTGTAAGGTCGCGGTGATTAACTCTCCTCCTAAACATTCTACATTCTGGACCGTCTTCATTTATTTAAGTACTTATAAGAACTTAATACTTTTCTTATTTCTAATTCATTTAATCGCTAAATTTCTAATGACCATTCACAATTTCTTGATATCGTTATTACTGATAAATTGAATTATTTGAAGAGTTGGACATACACATTTAAAAATATTAATAAAAATAACTACAGTACATCTATTCGTTCTGTAGCTAAGGGGCATCCGTAAGGGGGGAAACGATATTCTCTAGACTAGATGTTTATTAGACGATGCGTCCCATCAATAAAAATTCGACAAATTTGCAAGTAGTCGATAGCAAAATAAAAACACTAAATCACCACAATACACCAAAACACTTTTACTTTTACACTGGACGCGCGTTTCGCTAACCATGTTAGCATCATCAGCAGATGATTAAATAAACTTAGAGAGATGATTATAAACTAGAGAGTTTATAATCATCTGCTGATGATGCTAACATGGTTAGCGAAACGCGCGTCCAGTGTAAAAGTAAAAGTGTTTTGGTGTATTGTGGTGATTTAGTGTTTTTATTTTGCTGTGTAACACCAAAGGTTCCAACCCTCAACTTAAGTAGTCGATGAAATGAGTGGGCGAAGTGTTTTGCGATGACGTAGTCGTCAAGTCCACGTGTGCTCTCCCGCTTCTATTCAGGTAGCGATTTATAAAATATATTGCTGTTTATTTAAATGTTTTTTGTCTGCATTCCTTTCATATACACAGATCCAGTAGACATACTTTAAGTATTACTGAAACTTACAAAACAAAAACTTTATAATATAAATAAATATATAAAAATAAGTTTGCAGAAAGCAAAGTAATAAAATATACTTGCTCAGAACGATTCTAATGATAAAAGCTTAATCAAGACAATTTTCTTTAATTCAGTTCTTAATAAAAATTATTTTTATTTACCATGCATTATTGATGCCAAAAAAATACTCAGAAATCTGATAAAATAAAATTACTTTCCAACTATTGAAATAAATTCAGACTGTCGAAATGTTTTAGAAAACGTAGAATACCTTTTATTGATTTTTTTGCAAATATACATATTAAAAATTAAATAATTGAATTTTTATTTATAAATCTATTATTTTTCTAATAATTATTAAAATAAACGCATTTAATACAGTATCCAAGAATTAGAGCGTTATAAAATCTTAAAACTATATAAAACTATAAGAAAAATAATATAAAACTATAAGAAAAATAATATAAAACTATAAGAAAAATAATATAAAACTATAAGAAAAATAATATAAAACTATAAGAAAAAAATGTCAGTTGCTTGACCCAGTTATTGTGAACCCATATCAAACCCGCCCGGAAAAAGGTATCATTCGCTATTGTACGGCAAATATAACGTTATCATTACCAATAACTGCTTATTTTATATACATTATTTTTTGAACCTGTTTCGAGCTTAACACCACCATACACCTTGATCGACCGATACAAGGGAAAGAGCTGTTATTTCGAGACTCCACTTATCTTAACCGCCGCACGTTATCCTCGCTAGGTTAAAAAATTACGTATATAAAATAACATACGTTGTTTTTCAACCTTTTGCGAGCAACCAACATGAACCATCGACCGATGCAACTGCGTGCGGCGCTGCTGCTTCCCCAGTCTCTCTATATCCCGACAGCCGCCCGTTATGGATAATTGTCAAAATACCTGCGATTTTTCATACTAGTTATTTTTTGGGGCTGCTTCAAGCCACAAAAAATTTCGTGGCGATGCCGAGCGCCGACTTCATATTACGAGCGGTGGACGTGTCGTTATATTATATGTATTATTTTTTAGAAGTAGCAACGGTAGGCGTTATGTTATTTCTAAATCACTGTTATGAAATAGCAGATAGTTAAATAACAACCCATCTCTAAAATATAGTGTCTTTAAAAAAATGTTCTTTCAGTTATCCAGAACACGAGGTGACAGTAAGAAAAAACCCTCAAGTTCAGCGCGAGAAACGGTCCATGCCGCAGATCGTTCAGATTGACAGCGACGATGACGAATTCGAAGATGCATCAGAGAGTTTCAACGTGGACGACGACTATTTCGTTGACAATGACAACCCAACCAAAAAGCAGGAGCCCCTCAGTAAGTAGATTATGCTAAAAGTCTAGATCATAATAGAGTTGACTCAAAAAGTTTACTAGACGCAGAAGTATTTGAAGATGACAAATTATTGTTATAGGAAATTGCATTAGAATTCAATTAACTGCCGTAAAGGCAATTTATTTTTGTTAACAGATACTAACAGATGCACTCCATTTATTAGACAATTCAAAAATAATATTGTTAAACATGCTCCTAAAAATATAAATTACAAAAAAAAATAAAAAAATCTTAAATATGGTACACTATAACTAGTCCGGACAGATATCGTTCCGGCATACGCCCGGATTATCGAGGTGTCCGGATTACTGGAGCTACTTAAATTTGTTTCTTTAGAAAATGAAATCAACTCGAAAATTGTCAAAATAACATTTATTAATCTAAATTATAGACAAATACTAGGTTCCCATAGAAAGCTGATTTCTCGCTGGTTTGCAGCACAGTATAAACAGTTAATCGTTCCTTCAATCTTTTAATATAGATCTTATTTTTCATCTTGAATTTATCTGCATTGTATACTTGTTTTTTGTATATTGTCATATGTAGAACAACAGATCTAAACTTTTTCCTGAAACGAAATCACGGCGGTGGCATCACCGAAAAGCAGTAACATGCCACATATCGTCAAAAAACGTGTTTCGTGCCCTAACTTGAGTTTATCTAGCAATTCATAGCTTCCTAAAAATTATGTTTTCATGGTGAAATTTCTGATGAAATAGGTGCGTAATCATTTCGTTGTATAATCTAGTTGTACAATGGTATAGTTTGTCCAACGATTCCGACAGATAATATCCAAAAATTATCAGAAAATACAATTTACCTGTCATTTAAAATGATATACGCAAGGCACAAGTGTCACTGTCACAAATATTGGATATACTATAGTTCAAGTTTAGATTCTCATCTAAATTGTTTTCTTTTGCCTTTAAAACAATACGTCATCGATAATGGTATTCCCACCTGGCCCTTGAAATGATTTTGATATACAGGGTTGTTCATCACATACGACACGGAGTATTGTATCTAAACAATTAGATTTTTACAAATTGTAAGTTTTGGGTTCGTTGAAGGACTATTAGAGCTACAATTTAAAAATATTTTTACAAGATACAGTATGTCCCAAATAAATAAAAAATATCAAAGTTGTCTTTTTTTAAATGGAACACCCTGTATATTATTACATTTTTAGTTTCTATGATTAAAACAAAGGTAAATTTGATTAAGGTATACCGCACTTTAATCTTACCGTTTTTGAAATATTTTCAATTTTGTGAAATTACAGTCAAAATTTGAAAGGTTCATTTCTGCAAGGGAATCAAAGTTTTTAATACTAAATATTTACTGAAGTTTATTTATTGATCAGTTATTGTGTTGCAATAATAAAAATTATACTACCTTACATAGATTGTCTAAAATTTTATTTTAAATAATTACTAGCTTTAAACGGCAATAACTTGTTTAATTAGTTAAAATTCAAGTAGGGTAAGTGAAAAGTAGGGGTCGTAAATCGTAAATACAACATAGGCGTGCATATGGGATGTAAGAAGAATTTAAACCAAATTTTATATATATTTTAACTAATAGTAAAAATAAAGTTCCAACCATAGATGCAACATTTTTCCTAAACGCCTACTTGTGCGCTTTGAAATTTTGATGCAAAATCCGGCAATACCGCATAGAAGGAATGTATTTGTATCTCTTTTTAATACATTTCATTCTCCATTAAGCTGTCTACATCACTGTCTTACACGGTAAAATCCATACCGCACAGTTTCGATGACCAAAACGGTATATATAAATAGTATATACAGGGTGAGTCTTAAATAAGTGCAAATATTTTCAGGGTTGTTAGATCTCGATAAAGAAACATATTTTCTCTTTGCCGTTTTTCAAATAAATAAATCCAAAATAACCGAGCTATGTTACTTTGAAAATTTTCAAAAAAATAGACTTTCCTTAAATTTTGAGAACCACTGGATCTTTTCTGGGTTTTCTTTCTTGTAAATTTACTCTTACTACCTATGTTGCTATATTATCAAGAAATTACGTTTTTGAACTAGAAATAAAAAAAAATTCCAACATTTTTTTTTAAATTTAAAATTTTCAAAAAAAAATCGCAAAAAAACCTCATAATCGTATTTCTGTGGTTGAAATATACTACCCGTTAAAATTTTCGCACTTATTTAAAACTCACCCTGTACAGTGGCACACCTCATTCGGCTCGGTTGATTATGCGAAAACGGAAAGATGTAGAAACAATTTTTTTTGTGGGTATATGTAGAGGGGCAATCTGCCTGAACTAAGATCCATACCAAACGTCTGGCAGAACTAAGATCCATACCAAAATTATATTTTTTCTTATGGAACACACACACACACTGTATTTTATTTCATTTTTGGATTCTTGGGCATAAAATAAGGCATTTATTATAAGGGTTTCATATGTTTAAATGCTTTGGTTTTTGAGATATTGAAAGATAATTAAATCTGCATGCTATAATAAAAAAGCTTGTGAACGTCCTGTACATTACTTTTTGTCCATGGTTATCAAAAATTGCTGGTCCATTTTAAATATTTATTTTGCACAAAAACTTATAATATCGTTATTTCAAATACAACACTATGTATTTTTTTAAATAAGTCGAAGCAGATTTAAATGCTCTTTAAAACTATATTAGGCAGGGTTTCCTATTTCCAAAAAGCGATTTTTCAATAAAATGGCAGTCTAGATGGCTGGTGGCGCCATGGCAATTTGCTAGTGACAGTTAGTAGCTATTCATCGACATTAGTTTATGGACTTTATTTAAATTTATAACAGTTTACATTTACTTAATTTACCTACAATAGTTTAATAAGTAAGCATTTGTTATTTTATCAAGAAAACTAAAATAGTTTTTTTTATTTATGTTACGATGACTTGTAGATATTGGATTTTCTATAAAAGAACCAATTAAGGAAATTTCATTTTCTTCACTTCCAACGACAGGTTTCTGCCTAATAGGTTTTTCATATACCACAGTATCAGCTCTGCGAAATAGGAAAATTAGTTTTTTAAATGAACGCTTGTCAAAAAATTCCTATTTGGATATCTTTGAGCATAAACCCTTCAGGCCAACAAGCAATTGTCCTTACAAAATAAAATCACTAGTAACATATCCATTCCTTCCGCCAGCAGATACTGCTTCATTTCTCTTGATAAAATAATAAATACTTACTTATTCACTTTATTGTAGGTAAATTAAATAAAAATAACCAGTTATAAATTTAAATAAAGGCCATAAACTAATGTCGATTTTTAGAAGTTTAATTTATTTAAAACACTTTTTTTTGTTGGGAAAAACATGTTCGAAACAACTTAAAACATAAGTTGTTCATCACAAATCAGGCGTCTTAATGCAAAACCCGACAAGTCCATTGAAATAAATTTTACAGAAAACACAAAAAATGCTTTAAAATATTATGAATATTGTAAAGAATAATAAATCTAAGAGAATAAGAATAATAATAATCTAATAATAATTCTATTTCTTGAAAATATCGTGCATAAAAATCTCTTCAGGGAGTTTTCTTGTAAATTGGGATTTTAATTTGGACAAAACGGGTTTTGCATGTAAAGAGCTGTGACATGTCGGTTTTTGACTAAAAACGTTGATGAATGTAATCAAAATAAAATGGATTGTGATATTTTATTGAAATTTTATTTGAAAATAAACAATAGTAAGCATGGAATAATAATACACCTAGCTTTTAAGTAAGATTAAACATCAAAATCTAAATTTTCAACAGAACAAAACTTCTTCACTTAGTTAATCAGGTCACATTGTCACATGACTAACTCATTACTATTGGCTGACGGGGTACATATAGGTGTTGAATTTAAGTCCTGATAGGACTTGTCGCTTTTTGCATTTAAACCAGATTTTCCAAACTAAATATCTTAGAGATAATGTCGATATTTGCAAGAAAATATTATGAAATTTGATAGCTCTTTGGATAACGAATAAAATGGTATATAGAACTCAATTTTCAAAAAGGTGTGACTTGTCGGATTTTGCTTTTAGACGCCTGAAATATACATGTTTTTATTTTCAACACGTTTTCAACCCTCTATTTCAGTACCGGAAAATGTGGAGGACGAGCTGATCGGCACGATCACCTTCAACGAGAGGTTTACCGGTCGTTACGGTCCAATACACCCGCCATTCTTCCAAGGAACTCTCGAGGATGCCCTCAAAGAGGCTTGTAATAAACCTGCCAAAGATGTAAGTCATTTCTGTAGCGTAGTACATTTTTTCATACAGGGTTTAGGTATTTGAAAATTATATTTATTTCAATGACAGTGTAATTTTCATGGGAGAACCATAAACTCTCGAAAGCCCAAGTTATCGAAAACCCGAACGAAAGCGAACGGTAAACCGAATGGTCCCGATTGGACAAGTTATCAAATCTCGCTCCTCCCCTCGCTATTTGTATTTTAAATTGTAAACAAAAGTCAACGCCATTTGTTTTTGGTGAATATATAAACTTAAAATACTTTAATTTAATTATCCTGCAAAATTAGAACCTGAAAGCCTAGAAATGCGGGATCGGTACAAACCAAAAATTTAACTTGTGAATAACATAGAAAATAGAAGCCCTTAGTTTTGTTATTTATTTTAAATGCTAGCCCAGACTACCCAGTAAAGTTTTCAAAGATATAAGAAACACGGAAATTATTAGTAGTGTTCACCATGAATTCTTACAAATTTCCAGAAATTAAAAGGAAATAAGAGGCGTGTGTTCAAATATTTTAAAGCAAAATTTTGTTAGTGATTATGGAAGCCTCAAAGTTGCAGGCCATATCCTTATCAAAGCAAAGGTAAGGCTTATGATAAACACTTTTTCCCCATAGTTTTTCTATATTTAGTGATTCTTTAAGGTCAAATCTACAGCGTATGAATAGTATGTAAACCTGAAGCTGAGATTGTGTTAGAAAGGGTTTCAACATCAAACTATACTGAACTCTAACCCTGAAAATGTTAATACAAATCCAAAGCAATTACCAGCATGACAGGAAAATTAAAAGCAAAACTTTCATTGAAATAATATTGTTTATAAATCAGGATCAAAATTACATTACCTCACTTTGAAAATAGGACCGGGTGAAAAATATTCATAATGCGGAGCTTAACCAGTTGGTATAGTTGAGTGTAGTTATTGTGATAGTGAATGTGTTGAATTGAAATTGAAAACTTATTTCTGTAGAAAAACGTGAGCGTGCCTTAAAGGATACTGTATAAATTTCTAATGCTTTTTTATAACTGATCTTTACCTACTTTTTAGTATACTAAACAGTGTTTGTTTCTATAGTTTATTTTATTATTGATTTCATCAGTGATTTGGTAGAGTGGTTAAACTATTAACCACTCTACCAAGAGTGGTTAATAAACAAGACAATAATCTTACCATATAAATAAATAGTTCGTTTTTATTTATAAATTATCTATGGTTAAAATGATTTTATATAAAATACAGGGTGTTACATCATGTGGCGTTAAAATTTTTTTTTTCGAATATATTAAATTCTTTTAAAAATCAGTTTTGCCTTTTATTTTTCCCTTTAAGGTTTTGTCTTAATATTTTAAATACTTCTTAGCTGATTTTTTGAAGGTGATATAATTCCTGCAATTCTATCATAAATCGACCAAATCAGATTATAAAATGGTCGGCGTGTGTTCGGCTAAAATTTAGATGTCTTTGTTATTACACTGGTATAGGACCAGTATTCAAACCAAACTCTTCACGTTATTGAAAGAAAAAATAAAACAGAGATGTAGAAAACAACGTTTATTTTAATAAATTCAGTACCACTTAAAGTAGACAACAAACATCAAGTCAAGATATTCACATGTTTATTTTGATGCCCAATGCCCAATTAAGTTCTAACTTCTAACATAAAAAAATATCTACGTTTTTGGCAAAAAGAAAACAGTTACTAAGGTTCGAATTGTTTACTAAAGCCCTCCGCTGAAAACTAATTCAAAAATATTAATTTCTTTTGACGGAAAACATTATGAAAACATCATAAATCAACCAGCACCAAATCAAAAATCAATGTTACACTCAAAATTATTCATTGTTACAAAATATTTACATAAAAGATATTAACTATTATACCCATAATGCTATTAAAAATTAATTTAATATTTGAATAAAATCTGCTCGTCACATGATAAATCTCTAGATCATATATAATTTATATACAAATATCTTAAAAATGTATTTCTATATATATGATCTAGGGATAAACGTCAAATTTTTGTTTATTTGCCCAAAAATTTGAAAAAGAAGAACACGTTTTTATTCCATTTTACCCTCATTTTCATAGCCTAGTTTTGCTGAATTCGCTCTCCGGATATAGAGTATAAATAAGTAAAATAAGGAAAACTCTCGTGGTATATACTAAAGATGAGCAAAACTGCGATTGTGATTTATAAATCGCTGTGACTAACCTGGGATAGGGGGGATAGGTAATATAAAATATATAACAAAATATAGTAAATAAAAAAATGGCTGAAAGTGTCCAATGTTAACAGATGTTCCTTACCATAATCTACCGTATGATCGAATAAAAACGCCGTCAGCGATGGCTATGAAATGATCGCTGTCATTTTATATGTAAAATTATTTAGGTAATGTCATTGATGTTCATTTCCAAGCCAACTAGACGCCGTTTTTTTTCGATTATACAGTATGTCTTCTAGTTGATAAAGGATAAAAATAGATAATTTTTATAATTTGAATCTAAAAAACTGTTCTTATGAATATTTTTTTAATTAAATTCAAATGTTGCTAGTAATTCATCTACTCTATAATAGACAAAATAACATAGATACATACACTTTATACAAAATAAATTATAAAAAACTCAACAATCGCTTTATTTAACTGTCAACAATCGTTTTACTTAAATCGAAACAATCTGAATTATACCTGAGAGCAACTATTATTAATCATAACCAAAAACAAGAATTTTTTAACATTTTCAATCCATATAATAAACCCATTATAAATCTAATACTATATTAAAATATTATTATATAAAAAATAATATATAATTATAAAAAATTAACTAACTAATAAATTATACACAGATTGTTAACTGGACGGTTGTTTATTGGGAAACCGAATGGTAACACTGCTCCTACCCATTCAGTTCCAAATGAGTACTAAGCTAAGCTGCCGACTCGTCCCGTCGCGTCGTCTCTCAACGAGCGGGCCGAGGTTGCCATACTTCAACCATAAAGCTCTCGCCGCTAGTAATAAACAAATTAACAACCTGTATACAGGGTCCGGCAATAGTGCGTCGGGCATCTGTAGCCCCTAGAATAAAAAACTTGACAATTTTGTTTAAGTGCAAATCTAAAGTATGTACCAGGATGTATTTCAGGAAAATATTTTAAATTCTATAGGGTGGCTCAAAAAAGTGTGAGTGGACCTGGATGATTTTTTTTAAACGGAACACCCTGTATATTATTGCATTTTTGGCTTCCTTTCAGATCACTTTACATAGCCCTAAGATATGAATAAATACATTTCGATAGTTTCAGAGATATTAAAAAATAAATCAAAAATATATATTTTTCAGCCCTTCTTATAAAAAAATATTAGAAATACAAGAACTGTTCTGAAATCAAAACTTTAGATGGTCTGTACTTACTTTGCTATAAATATGAAAATCTTAAATTATACAGGATGTTCAAAATTCTACGCCAAACTTTCTAAAATATAAAATAATTCTTCTTCGTTTTTTTAAATAGAACACCCTGTATATTATTTTTTTAATAGATGGAGAATTAAAAAATGAACATTTTTTGTATTTAGAGTATTTCAAAATTTTTAACGGTTTCGCAGATATTTGCGGTTTTATATTTCATATGGCATTTTCCACAGTAAATTTTTATCAAAGCCACCCAATGATTTTTCTCTCGTATTTTACCATTGAAAGCGCCATATGAAATAATACTACGTGTATCTGCGAAACAGTTAAACATTTTGAAATACTCTAAATACAAAAAATGTTCATCTTTAAACTCTCCATTTAATAAAAAAATAATATACAGGGTGTTCCATTTAAAAAAACCAAGAAAAATTATTTTATATTTTAGAAAGTTTGGCGTTGAATATTGAACATCCTATATGATTTACGATTACCATATTTATAGCAAAGTAAGAACAGACCATCTATAGTAAATACCTCATATAGTTTTGATTTCAGAACAGGTTCTTGTATTTTTAATAATTTTTTTAAGAAGCGCTGAAAAATATATATTTTTGATTTATTTTTTAATATCTCTGAAACTATCGAAATATATTTATTCATATCTTAGGGTTATGTAAAGTGATCTGAAAGGAAGCCAAAAATGCAATAATATGCAGGGTGTTTCATTTAAAAAAAATCATCCAGGTACACTCACAGTTTTTTGAGCCACCCTATAGAAGTTAAAATATTTTCCTGAAATACATCTTGGTACATACTTCAGGTTTGCACTTAAACAAAATTCTCAAGTTTTTTATTCTAGGAGCTACAGATGCCCGACGCACTATTGCCGGACCCTGTATAACCTGTATACTACATATAAACATATTTTCCAACGCTTCATAAGAACGACGGGGCACGAACTGTGGTTCAGTTGCTAGACAAATATTACTTCAGTTGCGAATTGTAATTGCGAATGTGATTTTGTCGATGCCGAGATGCCGCGGTGCGATCTAAAATCGCAGTGGTGGGAACTGCGATCGCAACTCCCAGTTGCGAATTGTAATTGCAAATGTGATTTTGTGATTTAGTCCAAAAAATGTTTCAAAAAATTTCGAATTTTCTTTCGCGAAAAAAAACCTCATAGGTGTGTTTCTGGGGTTGAAATATACTACCAGTTAAAATACTTGCACTTATTTCTGGGACACCCTGTATAATATTTATAAAAAAAATCACCTGTCATTTTCAGCGTAAAATTTTGGCCCTCTACCTACACCATGACGCGAGCGTGTTAACCAATGTGTTCTGCACGCAGTTGCTCGGTTTCGAGAGTATCATGCAGATCCTAGAGAAGAACTTCGTGCTCTGGGGCTGGGATATCACCTTCGAGAGCAACAGACAAAAGTTCCACACGGCGCTGGCTAATTGTCTTGGCCTTACCGCGCCACTCAGTCTCAGGAACATTCCGGTAGACAGATTGCCCGCCATGGTGCTTATAATGAAGATCAGATCGGCCACAGAGATATTTAACGTCATCAACGGTAAGTGTAGAAACATTTATTGATGAAACTTTTGTATTTTATACATTAAAATTGTCACGTTTTTCGTGGGGTTTGGTGTGGATAATTTTAATTCAGATTAAATTAACGAAATTTATTTGCTAATAAAATGGTGGTTGCTTCGAAAGAACATCGATTGAAATTTTCAGAGGTGCGGTTTCACGCACCATCATAGCCAGTTGGATCACCAACCTTCGAAGGGAGACGGCGACCTAAAACGAAGAAGACAACTTATCTAAATCCGTAACTTTCCCTTAAATTTCGGACGCCTGGCAACCCTAAAAGATATACTCAAGACAAGGTTATTAAAAGATAGGGTTGTCTCATAACTCGATCCGCCATTATCGGAAACGTCATCTACTACGTCACAGGGATGCTACCGCCCATAGATAAAGGGATAAAAACTGCCGACAGTCCGACGGTGCATTTCTGAATCGATATTCACTGTGTATATGGTGTATGGCGTCCATAGTTTTTAGTTGTTTGATTTTTTTTTCTTTATTACATTGCCCATTTATCTCTCTTTGTCCGTTGCATTCTGTATTTTATTCTTTTTATCTATGATTTTATACGTTCTGTCTACGTCACATGTACAGTGACTGTATACAAGACAGTGGCAACAATTGAAAATAAGCTCCTCCCATCCGCCATGTTGCTGCTAAACCGTTACTTGGAAGAAATGTTTTAAATGGACTTTCGGGAACATTTACATAAAAAACTGTCTTTCTAGAATTGAAATGTTACTTTAAATGTTTCTTAAGTACATAAAAAGGTATAGGGTGTTTCCACATCTCCTATCCACCCATTTAAGTAGATAAAAAGAGGACAGGTTCATAAAAAAAACACTTACAAAATATTTACAACAATTTATAGGCTACACATTTTATTTTTTCCAATAAACAGATTAATACATAAATACACGAAAAATATATGTATTATATATAAAAATTACTATAAAAGTTGCCCAGCTATGGATTTACTGGCATGTTTTTTAACGATTGATTTCTTTTTTTTTTTGAACTAATTTTAAGTCTAAATATCACAAATCTACTGATTATTTTATTTTTTAAATTATGGCAGTTCGGCAAATCAATCTCTAAATGACTCATTTTTTTAAGAAAAAAATCTTTTAAATCTACATTCTGAGTAGAGACAATTGAGAAATATTTTTGAAAAATACTTTCCATCTCAACAAAAAAATAAAATAAAATTTCACTGCAAAAAAACAGACCATTTTCTTTGAATCTTTTGATTAAGCTAAATTTGCTAAATTTTTTGTAGATTGGCTGTTTGGAACCAGCAGCATTCATACATTTGCACAACTCTTAGAAGTTTTAATTATACTTTTAAGTATATATCCGCATATATTATATAAGGAATTTATTTCGCTATTGTTCAGATTAAAAGTGTTTTGAAAATCCTTGGGAAGGTCCACTGGCTCATACGTATGTTTTGTAGTATTTATCGTATTTAAAAATCCGCCAATAAAATATCTGTCATCTTCATCATAACTACTGCTATCTGCGTTTTTTAAATATTGTGATACACAAATTAATTTCAGATTATTTTTAACCTGAGCCGCATTAGGAACGACCTGTTTGCTTCTCAGTACACAGAATAAATTTTCTAGACAATCTTGAGAAAACCGACTAGTCAATATAAAATGATATTTTTTTTCTTCTAGTAAAAATTCCTGCACTCCAACATTGAAGTGGTGGAAATTAGCACTCCTGTTTGCGAAGGCTTCCAAATCTTCTTGTATCCAACCTGTATTTTTTCAAAAAGGTCTATAAAGTTCTTTAGAAAATTTATTGAGTCGTTGTAAATTTCAATATTGTGCTTGCTTAAAGCACTTGCAGGATTTCGAGATGTCATCAGGTAAAACCATTTTTCGACTTGGTCTAGGAACCAAGCAGTTGTCAAATACTGAGGTTTGTCAAGTTCTTCTGCAAGAAACTTTAAAGCACTACTTACACTATGACTGATTACATTAGTAGAAGTAGATACTTTCATCTGTGAAAAATGTGTTGGAAGTAAATCCTCCTCTGACAACTTTGGTGCTAATTTAAACATGTGTTGCTCTTGATGTTTAAGCACGTCATATATGTGACTTGACAATACTCCATTGCTTGGTAAACAATACTTTTTTACAACATCATTGGGAAGTATAATAATTTTGTTATTCATTAACATTGATTTTATGTTATTAAACAGGTGAGGAACATCTGCAAAGACATATATATATCCAGGTTTTATGGGGTGCACAGTTTTGCAATTAAGTCTAGAGCGTCTGCCTGCCATTATACCATATACTTTCCAAAGTGTTTGATTACAGGAACCCATGTCAGATGTAATGCTTAGAATGTTTAATTTTAGCTCTTCGGCTTGTTGAAATATACTGTTGATTATATCTTTAAATACAGTGCCATTGACAGAATCCGCAGTGAAGTAGTAGGTAACTATTTGTTTCCAGCGAGATGATACTCCCCCTAGCATAAACACAAGAACGTGTGTTGCAGTTCCTGTATGGTTGGTAAAGTCACCTCGCCAAAATATTTGTTAAGGGAAGTATCATATGTATTTCCTGGTGTTATGGCCATCTCATCCATTACTAATACGCATTCTTTCTCATGCGGCACAAAATTTTGAACTTTAATCTTTAAAAATTCAAAAACCTCAGTTAAGCTACCACTATCAAATTTAAGATTTTGTAATTTTCTCTGCAAGGTACGAATGGACGGTAAAGGCATTCCTTGTTTTAGTAGCTCGTTATATCCATTGTTTCCACTACTAAACTTTAATTTGAGTGATTTTGTCACCGTTTCATTTGACCACTTCATAAATTTTGTTGTTTTCTTTGTTTCTTTTTTCTTTAAAGCCAAAAGCTGATCTTTGTTAAAAATCTGACTCATACATGGCTGTTTTACTGCTTTAATCAAGAGTGTTTGCCTCTTTTTACTATTTGTCAATAGTCTTCTATACAAACAAACAAACAACGCTTTATTGTGCAAAAAGCCAAAACAGCTTCATCGACAAAGCACTCACAAACAACAAAATCACAAAAAAAATACAAACAACAAAAAATACACAATACAAATAATACAATTCAAATTATATTTTAATACTTTTTTTTCTTTCTTTCATAAATAAATTTTCATAGAAAATGAGCTTTTCTTTTAACTCACCAGTACATAACTTTGTTGTTTCAGCAATGGGGGCAATGGAAGAGCTATCTGAACATGTTGTGTTTGACTTTTTTCTGTTGTTAGTATTGGTGATATTTTCACCTAGAACAAGTAAAAATAACTAATAAGTAAAAATACATAGTATTGCATTTAAAATAATGAAGTTTTTATGTAAAATACATATTTAAAATAGACCAGCAATTTTTGATACCCCGGTATACATTTAAGGAACCAATACATTTTTTTAGTAAAGTTTATTTCTCTGGTTTCAAAGTCACCACAAGAATTAACTTTAAAAAGTAATGTACAGGGTGTTGACATTTTTTTATTATAGCATGCATAATTAAATACCTTTAAATATCTCAAAAACCAAAGCATTTAAACATATTAAACCCTTATAATAAATGCCTTATTTTATGCCCAACAATCAAAAAATGAAATAAAATACCGGGTGTCCCATAAGAAAAAAAATATAACTTTGGTATGGATCTTAGTTCTGACACACCCTGTACATTTGAAAATAATTTTAAATTATGCACATTGTCTCTCTACATATACCCATAAAACTTTATGTTTCTACATCTTTTCGTTTTCGTATAATCAACCGAGGCGAATGAGGTGCGTCACCCTGTATATTATAAATGGAAAAAACTTTAATTAATTATTTACAACTGCCTTTTGTTCTTTTCATTTATTGATTATTGTTTTCATTTCCATTTGCATATAGATTGATACTAGTATAACAGTAGGAAACGTGTAAAACAGACAAAGGAAAATACTATCAATAAAAACTGAGAATTTTTTTGCACTTACGTGTAATCAAAACATTTTTTTCTTCGGGTAATATTGATTTCCTTGGCTTTGATGGTTTTCTGCTTTTCTGCGGCTTAGAAAATGAGAAAATCGTAGGAATTGCAGATGGACCTAAAAAATGGACCTAAAATTTTCAAAACCAAAATCTTTAGTACCTGTTAGAATAACCACACAATCAATATATATTTTTTTACGAGGGGTAAACCGCTGGTGTATTTTGGTGTACAAGATGTTGGCATTTTTGGCATTTTCGTGGTATTATTGATATTAGTACGAAATTATTTGGCATTACTGTCGTATTTTTTGGCATTACTTTGGCATTAGGGTACAGAAATTCGTCAACGGTTTACCTCTTGCTTTTTTGTATTGAATAAACAAATCTCAAATAAATACATGGGTCAAATAAATACATGGGTCAAATAAATACAAGAAATGGAAATTATACTTGTCCTTATATTATTGCCTCACATAAATAAGAATAATCCGTAGGAATCCAATTGTCTCTTTTTGTTCGAAGAAGCCATTTCTTTCTTCTCAAAGGGTCCCTAGGGAATCTTTTCATTAAGAATCCTTTCTTTGCTGAATTACTACAATTAACTGCAGCACAACCAGGCATATTTTGACCAAAACAATCTGTTAACAAATAAACAAGAGTATTATGACATTTTTAAATATATATTTTTAACTAGTTGAAGCCTGGCACATCCGCCACGACATCAGGAAAAATACTTATTTTTTTTAATTAAATGATCCGGGACGACAGTTTTTAGAAGAGCCAATTAGCTATCTTTCTAGAGCAAGTCGTTACTTCAATAGAGACGACACAGATAAACATTAGCATTTTATATATGTATGTAGATACATATGTTAAGTAATTATATACACGCAACTAGATATACAGACTTGTTTTTATTTTGAATAAATTAGAAAAGAGAATAAAAAAATATTTACATATTAATAGTAACATGTTAACCTTACTATAAAATAGCAAATGACTTACCACTAATAATAACACTAAAAATTAGACACTAAACGATATTTTCAAGTTCATACACTAAACTTCTTACAGAAATCACTAACTGAAGCACTATATTACGACAAAAAGGTCTTCAAGTCCACTAAAAACTTATCAAAATCAACATAAAATCCAAAATTGCCACAATAACTCAACGTAAACAACAAAAGATTTGCAACAACATGGCGGAAAAAGTTACGTGACAAAACTGACCAATTAAAAATTATACCCTCTATTGGCCCTGTTCCCAGAAGAATCTCTGACTAGTCAGCGCGGTTCTTATTGGTTGAAATGCATAGAAACCTGACTAACAATCAGGTTTCTACGCATTTTAACCAATGAGAAACGTGCTGACTAGTCAGGGATTCTTCTGGGAACAGACCTATTGTCGCCACTGAATATAGTCACTTTAGTCACATGGATGATATTCCGCTTCGCTATTGGTCCAAAAGTTACGAGACAACCTTATCTTTTAATAGCCTTGTACCTCAGATTAGGTATCCTATAAGTATACAGATAAAAATCTTGTCCCTAATTTGTGGTACGAAAATTGTTTTTTATGACGATGTGCAAACGAGTCAAATTTCCTGTGCGCAAAAATAAACTCGTGTAAAGTAACAATAAACAGCGTAATAGAGAGATATCGCTAAACCGAATAGCGTGCATGGACGTTAATAAGGCCAGGTGTTATTTCCTTTACGTGAGGTGGTATTAACTCTCTTCATTTATAGTTATCGGATCGGAAAGAATTCTGATCGCGTCGCGTCCGCTATTTAAACTTAACCTAACTTTGAATTTAAAACTTTGAAATTGTTGTGTTTACTAGGTATTTTAAAACTAAAGGGCTAAAGTGCTTATTTCCAGTGCTTTATTGTTCAACGTCTGCCAGTGGGTTTAGGGTAACAAGCAACAAATTCTCTTTGAAGGGTTAAGTCGTCATCTGCTGTAAACCTAACACTCTTTATAGGTTCTTTAGTATTGGAAGAGGTGGAATCCATATTTTGGACCATATTTATTTAATTAAAACTAATCCCAGCTACTTAAATATCAAATTACCTAATAAAACTAAAGCAATAATTCAAAACAATTCAAACATAACCTAAAATAAAAGTTCAAGCCTTTCCAAACACCCACGATTTTTTTTATCTGCATATTAACTACTGGGAACTAACAATAATCATAATGGAGTGCAACATGGGTTTTTTTGTAAACATTAGAACACCCACGATTTTTTTTTATCTAAAATAAAAGATCTCGCCGGCCGGCACCGGTTGTCAAATACCCGCACATGCCCATTTAAGCAATTTTTAAACGTTATCAGAGGTTATTTAGAAAGAGCGCTTGGTGTAATTGATCCGCATATTACGTCAGGCGGTAACGTTATTAGCGGGTGTTGCGTTAAAAATTGACTCGCGCATATCGTAACCATGATAAGGTACGCGTAAATACTGGATGACGCTATTCGGTTTTCCGATATCTCTCTAATAACTGTGCCGGTCAGGCGCTGTGTACAATTTTAGAGGCCATAAGTGGGCGTGCCATGTGCGCAAACTAGTCACCTATCTAGTGCCCGATTCCGAAAATTGGAACCACGAAAAACAATAAAGAAAAAACAAAGATTATAATCTGTATAATCTGTGCTTGTACTCAGTATACATACAATATGATCGAAAAAAACGGCGTCAGCGATGGCTATGAAGTGAAGCAGTACCTATATAAACACCAAACAGGATTATAATATTTACAACCATAAAACCCAAATTTGCAGTAATTGTTATTAAATTCTTTTTATTTTAATAAGTATTCAATTCGCCAAACTGCAGTGAGCTAAAAAGTTAAAAACAGTTCTCAGACATAACCACAGTATATATATTTTTTTATATTTGTAGGTAATGTTGGAGTAAATGAACTGCTTTCTACGCTCATCGAATGTGTGGAAGTGTTCAGCGAACATCAGAGTGTCGAAATAAAAGAGGAAGCAGAAAGGGCTGAACGAGAATTGGTCAAGTGGGAACAGGATCAAGCTTATCGCGAAAGTTTAGAAGCGGATAGGTAAGTAAAAATATATATTTTTTTATAATTATCGGTGGAATGAATTAACAAAAAGAGTTAATGAAGCTGGTACCGCTACGCGACCTCTAACCCAAGGAATATACCTAGCTAGAAAAAGAATGGACTCTGCCATCATTCTGCCATACTGAAAAATGGTCCTACAGAAGTGGCGCCATCTATTGAGTAGGGCTTGTTTTAAATTGATCGAAGCGCGGGCTTTTTAAATGAGCGTATTTATTGAATTTTACTCTAAAATAATTAAATTTGATTATTAAATCTTATTTTTACACAAATTCAACAATACTAATAACAAGTATCGTTGTGATGTGTAAGAAATAAGATTTAACAGTATAATTTATACAATTATTAAATAAAATTAAAATAAACATGTGTAAATATTATTTATTATTTAAAGTTTTTATTTATAAGTCAAATATTTAAACATCGTTTATTATAATAAAACAAGACCAACGTAATACGCCTAAAGTTTTGTAAATGGAGTAAATATAAATAGGTACTTAAATGATGGCAAAAATAAAAGACTTACATTATATTTTTAGGGCCACAAACAAAAGGAATTGTCTAATAAAAACACATATAACAAACACATAAATTATAGTTTGAAAAACGTTTTGATAATCATCACAAAACATCCCCCTTTAGAACTTTTTCTTTAATGGCCACAAGCGGGAGTAAAAGACCAACCACCCGAACAAACACTAGAGGCGCCACCGGTCATCAAATGGTGTAAAAATTGCGAAAATTTAATCATCTAATTTTGACACAAGGTGTCGCGCTTAACTTTTTCAATTTTAATTCAATATTCATTGTTTTTAAACTATATTATTAGACTTTGTTGTATTTTGTGAATGTAAAATGTTTTCTTAGTATAAAGTTGCATTATAGTAATTTAAATTATATTACATACATATTTAAGATTCAAATATTATGACATATATGTCAGTTGCCGTCTAAAATGTCATCTTGATAAAAAGTTAGTTATTGTCAAAAGTAGTTAAAATCATGTTAAAATATTAAAATTTACAAGTTATAATTGGACATTTTATATTATTTCAACAACAAACACATAATAGTACAGCGTAATGTTGATATGCAGGTCCAAAACAAAAGTGCCGTTATATTTTTCAGTTTTCGTTGTCAGCCGCGGAAGTTTCAGTGATTTTAGTGTTGTCGGATCTTTTTATTTGTGAAATAGAAATATTGCGTTTGGATTGCAAAACTAAAAGTGGAAGTTTTATTGCAATGTAAGTAAGCGTTTGTCCATTTTATATTTTACTTTTTCCATACCTACGACAAATATACATATATTGAAATTTTATAATTCGTTTTATTTAAAAAATGTTAGAAAACAAGCTTTTAATCCTGTAATTGGCATAATTGTTATGTAATATATTCCATTTAAATGTAATATATTACTTTTCAATTAAAAAAATGTAAATTTAAAAAATATATTAAAAATATATACAGGCATTAATTGAAATTTTTTGAGTTTTTGACAGACGAAATTCTAAAGGGGGATGTTTTGTGTTAATCATTTTTGATAATATTATGATTGGCGCTATGACAACGACAATATTTTTTGAGAATTTGACAATAGTATGACAATGGCTGTTGGGAACTATGGAAACTACAAAAAAATCTGATTGAACGCCATCTAGCAATAACTAGTAGTAACTTCTTAACCTAAAAATTAATTGCACTACCACCTAGCGCCTGAGGCTGGAACTATTTTATTTGAAATTTCCGTGGAAACGGTGGAACCGCTTTTGCTATTTCACTTTCCTGCCCCGCTCTAACCCTCCTGCCAAACATGTCCCAAACGTCAAACATGATGGGCAGTTCATAGTAGTATATAGTTCACAATAATCACCAAAGCCGGCTTGTCATACTGAAATGATAATTGAAAAAATTGCAACTTGTTGGTGTCAAGTTCATTTCGCTCTTAAAAATTAACCAAGCTATATATTGACATGATCCAAAAAGTAAAATGCTCAGGAGACTTGGCTCTGGCCGTAAAATTATATTTTAAGAACATTTACACACGAAATTATTGCACAGGGTGTTTTAAATTAAGGTAAAAAACAACTCCTCGATTAACCTTGTATAATATGCCAAATACTAAAGTTTATAAAAAACAAAGTTTACAAATTAAAGTTGATATAATTATGTACAGGTTGCTTAAAATTCATGAAAATAGGGCTAAAAATAACAAAAATATTAACACTTAAAATTTGACCAAACATTTTTCCGTTGCGTTTTTTTTGCATCTGTATTTCCTTTGGCCACACACCCGCTTTACCCGACACCCGAGAGCGACCCGAACAGCACAGCGTAATAGACTCTTAAGTCAGCTTTCGAAAAATGACTTAAAATCAAATGACTTCAGTCATTAAAGTGATTTAAATCAAAAAAAGACTTAAGTTTTCTGTGAGCTTGCAGCTCTGTCTACTGTATCATTTTTTTTCATAAAATTTCATGATTATATCGATACATTTTTTGTACAAGGAAGTTTTCTAATTCCAGAGCGAAAGAGGAAGCGAAACAGCGACAAGAAAAAGAAGAACAGGAGGCGAGAAAGAAGATCGAGAACGAGAAGGCGGAAACGGCGGCGAAAAAGGAGGCGTACAGGAAAGAGGTGGAGGCCCGGCTGCCTTCGGAGCCCTCTGCCGGACTCGGCGAGCAAACCAAGATCAGGTTCAGATTGCCCAAAGGCCTCAACATAGAAAGGCGGTTCTCGGCAGAAAGTCCACTAAAAGTGAGAGCATTTATTATAATATATTTTGGCTTATCAAAGCCCCTGTTCCAATTGAATAAAATCAAATGTCGGCATACTATGTGAATGTACCGTATGATCGAAAAAAAGGCTTCCAGTTGGCTGGAAAATGACGATCGATGACATTTTCCATATAAATTTACATATAAAATGACAGCGATCTTCACTTCATAGCCATCGCTGACGCTGTTTTTATTCGATCATAAGGTATATCATGATGGTTATTACATGTCATTTTAATTCAAATTAGATTGTTATTCTACAATTCGCTAGATGTGTACTTCCTTACGATTTTTTATTTTTATACAGGGTGAGTCTTAAATAAGTGCAAATATTTTTAGGGCTGGTAGATCTCTATAAAAGAAACATATTTTCTCTTTATAGTTTTTGTTAAGTTAGTCCAAAATAACCTAGTTATTTAAGTTTCAAATTAAAAAAAAATTGAGAAAGTTTTGAGAGCCACCGGATTTTTTCTTTAATTTGTTTCTCTAATTTTAATCTACTACCGATATTGACTGAAAATTTCAAAAAAAATTTATTGTAAAGGCGCGTTTCTTGTTTAATGGTGTTCGCCAGTAGCACTGTTATCCTACACAATAAATAAAAGCTTATTACCTCTGATTGAATAGGATATAAGCTATTAAGTTATTATTTATTATATTCTTAACGTGCAGGTCCTGCCTTATCTATACACATTTCAGAACATGGAAAACCCCAATATTTTCTCATTTCCTTAAACACTCACGAAAGGTACGCATTTACTAACAAAATCTATCTTTGTGAAATCGCCTTCTTCAAAATTATTGTACCTTTCTTATGTCGGTATATGGGGTAAAAGTTTGCTTTTGTTGACTAATTGTTTTAGAGACTTGACTCTTGACTGATTTGTCAACTTGGGAAGGCAATCTTCGTTAAAGCGATTTTTTTCTTTAAACTATAAATAAAAATGAATTGTATCAACTTAAAAATACTTTGAAACTAGTAAACACAACAATTTCAAGACATTCACGAACAGACGCTATAGGCGGTAGGGCCGAGCCGGGCCGAATTTATTATATTAAAAAATTGGCGCCGGGAGGCACGTATAGCCGCCCATATTAAAATATGTTAATAAAAAGTTGGTAGGCAGTTCTTTTAGTTTCAAAGTAAAGGAATATTTCCAATTTTTTTTATCTCAAAAACTGCAACTTTGATTTTGATGTATTTCAAACGTTGTTGCAAATATTACTCCTAATCTTAAATTTAAAACCGTCAGGGTCTCCCATACCCCCTTACCAACCTCCCACCCCCACCAAAAACTAACGGCCAGATTCTCGGGTGCCACAATATTTTTGTGCCAAATTTGGCTAAAATCGGTTTAGCGGTTTTTGCGTTATCGTGTTACAGACGGACAGACAGACACCATGAAAATATTTTGTATTTAGGTCATTTATGACCCAAATAACTCATTTTGAGTTAAATTAAAAAATATTTTTTTTTGCCGATCTTAATAGCCTACCATACCTGTTGGTATGGTCGGCTAAAAATTCCTGTCAATAACCCTTTATGGTTTGAAAACGTATAAATAAAATAACGTGGCTTGATACAGGTTTGTTTATACTTATACCTTATATTTTTTATATTGTTACATGCTGTTGAAATGTAGTTTTTATAATACTGAAACCATCAATCTCTAATAAGATTGTCCTTCTCTAATAAGATATCTAACCTAACCTAACCTAACATATTACGTCAAAACTGACACTTACTTGACAGTGATCACTTGATAGAATAACAAAACAATATCAAATCTATTTTAATTTTAAAATAAAATAAAAATCGTTTTTAATTTTGTTAAACTCATTATTTTTTTATTTGACTAATTACCATTTAATAAAAATAATAAATAATATAAATAATAATACATTGCGTGTGGAGTACACACAATACTACAAGGAGATGTATTGTATAGGTAGGAAGTAGGAAATTTTGAATTCCAACCACATTATTTTAATCGACGCGAACTCTCGAAAAATAAACATTGGATAGATATTGGCTTGTGCTGACAAGGTAAGAAACGTAAAATCGAGCAAAAACAATTTATTATACTCAAAACGGCCGTTTTATGTGTTCGTTAACACAGGTATTAAGTAGAGATGTAATAATGTATGCTATACATACAGTTATAATTAAACTTAAAACCGATTAAAGGGGTGTGTTTTATTCTACAGTTATTTATTATGTACATACTGAAATAGATAAATTAATCATAATGGCACAACTAGTATTTCTGCACTTTATAATACAGGGTATTTTGTTCACACCTTTTCTGAATTTTCCACCCTTTTTCAGCAATTTTTATTTGCAATTTTTGCATTTTCCATGGTAACCATTTTCCATGGCCTTAACCATGGTAATATCAGAGATTATAAGAAATTAGACCGTGGAAAAATTTGCTGTGAACAGGCAGTTAAAAAAGTTTTCAAATATAAACAGGGAAATTTAAAACAAAAAGCACGATTTTTTCAACATCTTTTTTTTTGCAAAAAAACTTAATAAACGTGTTCCTGGGATCGAAATATACCACCCCTGAAAATATTTGCACTTCTTTAAGATCCACCCTGTATAGGGTGATTCACGGCGATGGCACCTTAGACATTTTTGGAAACTCTACTTTCGTATCTCAAAAGTTTTCTATTACACTAACCTATACCTATCTCTAATAGTTTTTAAGATAAAAAATAAAACGTGTAAAATTGACAAAAACATGATAGTGAATAAGCATTGGTAAAATCGTGAATTAAATATTTTTAAAGTTTAAATTTGGGTAATAAGTTAACGAAAGTCGATATATTCGATCTGTCTATATAAACCGATTGGATACACAGAGAGAGCAAAAAATATTATTTATTTCCGTTTGTTACAAAGTTTCTCAAATCTTTGTTAGTTTAAATTCAACCCTATGTATAATATTCAAAAAATCAAAAGACTAATTAAATTGCTTTTCAACCATAGATCACGTTCCTATACCTAAACCTTCCGGTTTCTTAAGTAGAGCTATTTAAAAATTAATAATTCTATTATAGTTTCATTTCCAGAATTTCGTTACCATGACAATTTTAGAAATTTAGCAGGTAAACTCTAATTGATACTTATAAAGTCTGAATATTTGTCATGGTAACGATTCTCTTTAAACGAAACAATTATAATAGAATTATTATCTTTTAAAGGGCTTTACTGAAGAAACCAGAAGGTTTAGGTATAGGAACATGATATATCGTTCTAAAGCAATTTCATTTGAGTTTTGATTTTTTAAATAATATACATAGGCTTGAATTTAAAATACAAATAATTTGAACGATTCTAAAACAATGGAATGTAAACTTTTTTCGTTTTCCTGTTATTACCGATTCTGAATCGTCCTAGAACTGTGATGCGTATACGCAGAAGGAAATATGAAGACATTATTTCATTTGCGCATGCGCTGCAGAGTTCTAGGACGGTTCAGAATCGGTAATAACAGGAAAACGAAAAAGCTAATAATTATTTTTCTGACCTCCCTGTTTGATATCCAATCAGTGGATTTCATATACCGTGTGCGTCTCAAAAGTGGCTCACCCATATAACTTTTTTATTTTTTCAGATAAAAAGACGAAATTTGGTATATTAGTATAATATGACATAAATTAGGATTGATTGACGTATTCAATTGTTTTTGGTCACTTCCTCTTTCACCGGAAATGACTAAACTTTTGAATTTTAAATGGCACCCTCGATATATTTTTACTTTATTCAATAGCAAATGACACTCTGAATAGAATGACATATCATAGGTCAACTTTTGACATTTTCGCTTAAAAACTAATTGTATTTTAAATTTCAATCTAGAGTGCCATGACTGAATGTGTGAAAAATGCTAATTTTTAATCAAGGAGCTTTGGAAAAATAAATTTGATCGTCTAATGTTTTTCTTGTCTTCTCCTGGCCAGTTAGAAGATGCCCAAATCGTATTTTTAATCAGATCTCAATTTTTTCAAATGGAAGAAGGGTGGCTCATTAGCATATTTGGAAAAAGCATTTTTTACGAATAATTTGGTACCACACACTTGGCATTTTGAGTCAGATTGTCGTTATGAACCGCCGGCGCCGTTGCAATTTCAGATAAATCATATGCGAAAATATCAAAATTTGACATATGATATTATGTCATTCTATTCAGAGTGTCATTTTCTGTCGATTAAAGTAAAAAAATATCGAGGGTGTCATTTAAAAATAAAAAGTTGTAGTCACTTCTGGTAAAACAGCAAGTAACCAAAAACAATTGAATATGTCAATCAATCCTAATTTATGTCATGAAAATAACATACCAAATCTCGTTTTGTTATCTGAAAAAATAAAAAAGTTATAGGGGTGAGCTTTTGAGACGCAGCCGGTATATATTATCTAACATTAGTAATATTAATTAATATTTCTATTATAATAGTTAATAAATATATGGTTGATTTCAACAGATCGAATATGTCAACATTTCTTAATCTATAAACCAAATTTTAGTTTTCAATATGCCAAATTTATGATTTAACCTATGCTTATCTGCTTATTCAAGATCATGTTTTTGTCAATTTTTGTCTGCACACGGGTCGTTTGGCTTTCGAAGCGGAAGCGTCTCGAAGTTCAAATGAATCTCCCTTCAGTCTACCTTCGTATGTAAATAACAGTATGAATCATATTAACTCCGCGTCAACCGCCAAAGGCCCGTTCGTGGACTTACTACTATTTACGTAAGAAGTAGAATTCGATACGCTTCGGCTTCGTGAGTACGGTCTTAGACATGTTTTATTTTTTATCTCGAAAACTATCAGAGATTGGTATAGGTTAGTATAATAGAACAATTTTGAGATATAGAAGTAGTTTCGAAAAACATAACAATATACCGGGTGTTCCATTTAAAATAACAAAGATGCTACCACTTTTAGTATGAAACGGCAACATTGTAATGGTGAAAATAATTTAGACAGATGGATGTAGAAGTATGATAAGATGAGATATAGAAGTAGTTTCGAAATACATAATAATATACCGGGTGTTCCATTTCATATAACAAAACTGCTACCACTTTTAGTATGAAGCGGCAACACTGTAATGCTGAAAATAATTTAGACAGTTGGAGCAGATGCCTTTATGAAAAAATACAGATTTTCAAAAAAATCCTGTCACCAGTTCTCCATAAACGTCTAACATGCCATGGGCGTGAAACACCTTGTATTTACTGCAATTATAATAAACTTGTCCAACTTTTATTACAGGTTTTGCTAGACTTTTTAGTTGTACAAGGATATCCAAAAGAAGAATTCAAAGTTATCTCAAGCTGGCCTCGAAGAGATGTAAGTTTATTTTGCATTTTAGTACCGAATCGTAATTTTCTCATTTGTTGCATTCAAATTTTTAGTTGACTGTCCTAGACGAGAACGAAACACTCAAAGAGTTAAAGCTGTGTCCTCAAGAAACTGTGATATTAGAAGAACGTTAATTTAGTGTCGCCAGAGCGCGAGGTTGGATTTTTTATAACAGCATTTAAACAATTTGATTACAAATGTATAGTTAGTTAATATATTTTTAATTTAATGTAGTATTACTCCATTTAGTTACAGTAATTTAAGTATACTTACAGAATTTGATGTATAGATGTGTTTTATTTCTGAAAAGAATATGTTTTAAAAAGGAAGAAGGATTTTATACTAAAGGCAAAGGTTAGTTTTAGGTCGAGATTTCCGTAAGAAGAGTATAATGCGTTTATAATGTACTGAACAAAGAGAAAACAGTAAACACGTTGCCAAACGTGTGAAATAAATAGAGAAACTATGCACATTGCTAACAGACGTGCAGGGGCGGCTTGTCCTATGAGGCAGATGAGGCAGTGCCTCACCAATACATTTGAAAAATTACACTTATTAATCGATACATCTTTAATCACAATTTTATATATTTTTTTCCTATTTGCATTAATAATAATTGTATTTTTTAACCGTCATTCTACAATAAATTACGTCGATGGTATTCCTTTAAACGCGCTTCCTATCCCATATGCGACAAACTCGACGATGTATATCCATCTCATTTGTTCTTTAAGAGGTATATGTGCAGAGGTTTGCCTCTCGTATTGTGGTATATCGCACTGACGGAGCGACAGCGTTCACTGGAATCTTAACTCTGTAGAATGAAAAGAAAAAGCATAGGCAAAACCTTTAGTTGAAGAGAGATAAAATGTATGGTGTAGTAGCGCGTAAAAAGACCGTATTGAGGCGGGCCTCAAATGTAAATTTGAACCTTAAAAGCCGTTCTTTAAAAATATGTATCACTTCCCGATCAGCCCGAGAGATTTTAGGCGACAGGCTGAAAATGCAAAATTGCATTATTTGGGAATTTGGCTTAGTTTGAATCAGAGTTTTAATTAATTCTGCAGGTTATTACACTGTTTTGTCTACGTTTTTTAATGTGAATTGCATGTTTAATTACTCTTTTTACTGATTATTGTACATATAAAATAAATACCTAAAAAGTGGGCAGTGACTTATTGTTGATTGATATGATGATTTAGAGGGACCATGCATCATCAGAGGACTTCCCCAGGTAAAGTTTTTCGAATCATTTCTAGATAAATTGTGTATAGTCAAAAAGTAAAGCGACCTGTTACAGATTTCGTTTTGTTTTATTTTTATAGGATAGGTAGAAAAACAAAATTTTACCATACAGAGTAAAATATAAGAGAAAATATCCTGAGGTCGCTTTGATACAAATTTACTGTTGCAATAGGCCTATGTAATAGGTACCGTATGATCGAGAAAAAACGGCGTCAGCGTTGGCTATGAAATGAAGATCGCTGTCATTTTATATGTAAATTTATATGGGAAATATCATCGATCTTCATTTCCCAGCCAATTGGACGCCGTTTTTTTTTCGATCATACGGTATAATACTGCGAATTATATTACATAAGGCTATTTCCGCAACTGCTAAAAATTTAGAAATATTTTAAATACAAAAATGTGCGCTTTTAAAGGTCTGTAGGTATCTAAAATACTAAAAATAATATACAGTGTGTATTGCATTTAAAAAAAACTGAGATATAGTATTATAATATTGCAATGTTGGCCGCGCCGTAAAAAAATCCCTGTGAATGTGAATTTTTCTCGGATTTCTTCTTTTATCCGATAGCGAGGTATGTAGCTATATTATACGTACTTAAGCAATAACATATCAATAAGTTAAATTCACTCCAGGTTTTTACCACTTTTTAAAAGGTGAAATTTTTCAAATATGAATTATCATGGAAATCCCGCATAGGTATATAGTGCTTCAAATAAATCAATAGTGTGATGTATGCTGAATTTTATGCTGAACCCAATTCTGTACAGAAAAATGGTAATGCGATTGCAATTTTAAAGAAAATATTTTTTTAGGATATGTACTTTTTTTTATATAGAACTTCCTCGTATTAATGGCCACCCTATATACATACTGTTGCGGACCCGTACCGTGTGAACTCGGCCTTAGGCTTGGCCACTCGGCTATGACTCATACGCCCACCGACGTTCGAAGAACGCCGCTAAGAATTTTCGAGATATGTCTGGACTGTCTGTTTCTCTCGTATATAAGCCGATGCCCGAAACCTGAAGGAGATAGAGATAAATAACCGATCGACGCGTACAGTTACAATCGCCGCGCTAATTCAAAATAAATTTCTGTTAGATAAATAATTAGATAAATTGTAAATAAGTTATAAATAGTTCTTTAAGTCTTTTAATTATTATTGTTTTTGTTAATTAGTGTTAAATAAATTGTGTTTAAATAAATTGTGACTTTCTATCCACACGGAACCGACGAAAAAAAACGTAACAATACTAATAAAAATTCTCTTCTAATGTGCCTCACCATCTTCCAGTGCTACGAACCGCCCCTGCAGACGTGGACCGCAGATTCGTCGCGGTCCACGTCTGTTAGCAATGTGGCAACCGGTCGACCTCTTATCGACCCAATCAGTATTTAAAATTATAGGGAAGGGTGTACGTCGTGCGTTCAGCTTCACGTTTAATTACGTCCCGTGATACTTTATTTGTTTATTTATTAACGGGTCGCGTCGTTGTAATTTTCTCTATAGCTTGTAAATTTTTAAGTTCAAGTTAGAAACACTTGCATTTTTGGTAAAAATAAGTGTTCGGCAGTGGTCGCGCTATTAGAACTTTGAATTCAAAAATCGATATCTCGAACTCCATTAGAAATAATTGATTGTAGTTTTTTTTTCTTAATATTTCTGCTTTCTTAAAACTTTCTTAATATTTCTGCTATATTTTCTTGGCAGACAGTATGTGAAAATCTTTATAAATAAGAAAGTTAATTGCTATACACTAAAAGAAAATGGATGTTTTTTTTTAATTTTTGAATTGGAAAAACAAGCATATCGAATTTTTCTTATTTAAACATCTACTTACATATTGTTACGTTTTTCGTCGGTTCCGTGTGGATAGAAAGTCACAATTTATTTAAACACTATTTATTTAACACTAATTAATAAAAACAATAACGATAAAAGACTTAGAACTATTTACAAACGATTTATAACTAAGAATTTATTTTGAGTTTTAGCGCGTCAACTGTACTTGTCTATTTATAACTGCCCTCTCTAGGCCACAGCCGCCGGCTTTTATACCTACAGTTAATGTTTACTAGAATAGTCCATAGATCGTTAGGTGCATAGAGAAGGTTTCAATTGTTCTCGTATGTACTACTGTACTACTCCATTCCAGTAGAACTCGATGCTTCTCGAATCTTCGAATGAATCATTACGGTGTCTATTCTCCCAAGCATCATTTGGACGTCGGGACAACGTTGTGTCACGCGACCAAACGTCGGGACGCAACGTCGGCACAACCTCGTGCCAACCCTAGTCTGCACTAGTTTGGAGAATAATTTTTGGGTCGAAACGACGTTGGATACCGACGTTGGCTAGAAGCCTAATTTAGTACAAACTGCAACGTTGTTTAAAATCCTAATTCACAGAAATACAAAACTAATATGGCGTCTAAATCGCGTTTTATCCGGGATAATTATAGTAAAAATACTATTTTTATGATTTAGTTAGAGACATATGTCAGATGGCAGTGAAGGAAAACAAAACAAAAGTATTTAAATGTGGAGGATGTTTGAAGATCATAATTATTGAAACACTTTAACCGACTCTGTAACTCGTTACCCAAGGCAAAAAAGTTAAACGCAAACAACTTTATTGATAAATGTATTGTTTCTACTTTGAAAAATACTAATGGGCCTTAAAATTAAAGAAGTTTTAAAAAAAAATTTGAAGTTTTTTTTAGTAAAATGAGAATAATTTATTCGCAGTCGAAAAAATTGTTTCCGCGTGTTTTTTAGGGTCAAATATTTCAAGTTAATGTATTCAAAAAGCAGGAATTGCTATTTTAGGAACGAAACATTTTCTTATTTAACAACATGGCGGCTTTCACTTTGTTGTTTTGGAGATTAAGATGGAGTAGTTCGAGTAGTCGCATACTGGACTAATAAAGTCGCAGTTCGGCCTTAACAGGTAGTATACTACTCGCAAGATTGCCTAATAGCACAAACTAACTTAAACAGATGCGACACCTTATGGGAAATTTTGTGTTCAAAAAGACCTATGTTCGGAAGTGCGACGACAGGGCGGCGATACCGTCGATGAAGGCAAAATATTCGGCCAAACAAAGAGCCGTGGTGACTTCAAATCGTTCCCGCACTCGCCCCTTCCCTAAGCTTCCATTTCTTTCGTTCTTTCTCGCCTTTAACCTTGCCTTTGATACACCGCGCCGTCTCGTCTGGCCGTCGTAGCCGCCGCACGATTATAAAGTCAAAGCGAGATTGCCAGCTTGAACTTTTTTTATGTGAGAATTAAATGTTATATGTAATTGTATTAGCGCTTTCTCCTGGATAATAATAAATAACTATTACATAATGTTAGGAAATATCAGCTAATATTTATTTGTAAAGTATGAGAAATTTACAAATTTTAACAATGGGTTAAGATCAATACATATGTATAAAGAAAATTACGATTTCTTTAAAATTAAAAATGATATAAAATATCAGAAATATACAATTCTTAAAGAATAGGATCTTTGTTGTCAGCTTGCCGTTTGTATTTAGCTATACTTCCAGCTGTTAATTTCAAATATTAATCTAAAGTCTATCTACTATTAGCCAGCTTAAATTATCTTTAATTATTTTTATATCCTGCTTGTTAATAGTTTTATGCACTACTATCATTTTATTTGATATTTTAAATTGATTTAAAATTTAGCAGCTGATCTTTTATATAGCAAATAGGTACTTTTATGATACAGACACGGCATATTGTTTGCATATACCGATATAGTTTATACAAATTGGTAAGTAGAATTGGCAACAGTGTCCTAGAAAAAGGATATGGGAATCTAAGATGGGAATATTGTAGTATAGGAGCTGGCAAACATTGAGGTGAACGATATTTATCAAAATTTTCACCTACATGGTCTAATTATACATGGTATAGAGAAATTAAAATCGACCGTCTGCCGTTTCAAAGTGGCAGCTTTAACTAGGGGGATGCAGTTAAAAAAGGGTGGTTTTAAGATTTGGTGAACAATATTGATCAAAAC